AAACTCATTGGTCCACAGGGCCAAAGATCAACAGTACAATGATTGAAATTTCTTTGGAGAGCCAAATTTTTAAAACTTAAACTTCTTCTAACGCCACTTCTTCCAAATAGACTCGCCCAGGCCATGGTATTTTGTGGAAGAGCCACACTCAAGGGGCCAAAGAGCCGCATGTGGCTCGAGCCGCAGTTTGCCAACCACGGTCCTAGGTCTTCACATTCACTCCCCACTTAACTCTCTTCCAGTACTGCAAGCTTCATTCAGGATAAGTACCCTATACAGGTATACCATTTTTTTTAAAAAATATATATTTTATTGATTTTTTACAGAGAGGAAGGAGAGAGGGATAGAGAGTTAGAAACATCGATGAGAGAGAGACATCGATCAGCTGCCTCTTGCACACCCCCTACTGGGGATGTGCCCGCAACCAAGCTACCGGAATCGAACCTGGGACCTTTCAGTCTGCAGGCCAACGCTCTACCTGTATGAGGCAAACAGGTTTCGGCCAGGTGTACCATTTTAAAAATATTTTATATTGTATTTTACTGTACTTTTTTATGTTTAGACATGTTTAGATACACAAATAGTTACCATTGTGTTATAATGACCTACAATATTCAATACAGTAACATGCTGAACAGGTTTGTAGCCTAGGAGCAGTAGGCTGTGCCATGTAATTAGGCTGTACCATCTAGGTTTGTATAAGTGCACTCCATGATGTTCAAACAGTGACAAGAAATGGCTTAATGATGCATTCCTCAGAATGCATTCCTGTCATTAAGGGTTGTATGACTCCTAATTTACGGATCAGGTTTTATTGTCATGCCATTTAGTGACAACGGCCTTAAAGATGATGGGGCAGGGGTCTCACATGTATGTTTTGTTTCAAGCGCGAGTGCATTTCTATCCACGTGGGACAGGCTGGTGTCCAGATCGGCAATGCCTGCTGGGAATTATACTGCCTTGAACACGGCATCCAGCCTGACGGGCAAATGCCAAGTGACAAAACCATTGGTGGTGGGGATGACTCGTTCAACACGTTCTTCAGCGAGACTGGGGCTGGCAAGCATGTGCCCAGAGCAGTGTTTGTGGACCTGGAGCCCACCGTGGTTGGTAGGTACTGGGGCAAGCAGGGCGGCTGGGAGGGCCTCGTTAATCCCCCAGGGTTCTCCTTGGCATTCCTCTGCAGAAAAGATGGATGGACACACAGGTAAGCCATGACCGTGTCAGGTGAGAAACTGAAAGGTTAGTGCTTGAAATGTAGGGCTTGGGCTCCTGATTTAGGAAAACATAACATACAGCAAAAAGCTGCTGTGCTAGGAGTAAGCTGGGCTTATGACAGATTCATACATGACTGCCTCAGCCCCAGGCAAGCATCACCTTAATGCTGTGCACTCTCTCAGCTGGTGCATGAGCCTTGATCTGCAGCTCAGAAATAGAAATTGGAGAACAGTCATTGGGTCCCTCCAGAGTAGTTGCCTGAGGAGAGCTGCAGAGAGAGCACCTGTCAGTGGTCACCCAGAGATGACAGAATGTCACCCTCAAGTCTGAGACCAGGCCACACAGGTGCCCTGATAGGACTGCCTGGCAAAAACCACACTGACCTAGTGACTGTCCTGTGTGAACCATTTTTAAAATTGTACCATTTGGTGTGAAATAAATATGTAGAACTGCCTGTGTGCAGGGGTTCCAGTCAGGCTGGCATTTGCCATGAGTTGAGTTTACCTGCCTAGAGCCATAGATTGCAGATGTGCTCTGTGTGTGACATAGAGCCTCCCTGTGACACACGGATGCTGTTCACCTCCAAGGAACAGCACGTGCTGGTAGAACTGAACATCCCCCAGTCTGTTCGTGCTGGTGAGTTAACAATCGTTCTTAAAGGCACGTGTCCTCTCTGTAGATGAAGTGCGCACAGGGACCTACAGGCAGCTCTTCCACCCTGAGCAGCTGATCACCGGGAAGGAAGATGCAGCCAATAATTATGCCAGAGGCCATTACACCATCGGCAAGGAGATTGTTGACCTGGTCCTGGACCGGATCCGCAAACTGGTAAGCAGGGTGCTGGGAAGCCTTCCAAGGTCATTTTGGAAAAACCCAAGGCAGAAGCATGAACCATGGTCCTCCTTTCTGGTGTGGCTGCAGTGCGTCCATACATAATCTCTGGTGTCTGCTTTGCCTTCCCCCCAGTGGAATGCATGTTAGCTGGGGTGACTGGGATCCATTTAAAATCGTGGAGTCAAAGAGAAGTGTCCTAGGCTCGTTGGAGTTGGCGGTGTGGCTTCACAGGGCACTGCTCATGTCTCTGCTCTCTCCCAGGCGGATCTGTGCACGGGGCTGCAGGGCTTCCTCATCTTCCACAGCTTCGGGGGCGGCACCGGCTCCGGGTTTGCCTCTCTGCTCATGGAACGGCTGTCGGTGGACTATGGCAAGAAGTCCAAGCTCGAGTTTGCCATTTACCCAGCCCCCCAGGTGTCCACGGCCGTGGTGGAGCCCTACAACTCCATCCTGACCACCCACACGACCCTGGAACATTCTGACTGCGCCTTCATGGTGGACAACGAGGCCATCTATGACATATGTCGGCGCAACCTGGACATCGAGCGGCCCACGTACACCAACCTCAATCGCCTGATCGGGCAGATCGTGTCCTCCATCACGGCCTCCCTGCGCTTTGACGGGGCCCTGAACGTGGACTTGACGGAATTCCAAACCAACCTGGTCCCGTACCCCCGCATCCACTTCCCCCTGGCCACCTACGCCCCAGTCATCTCGGCTGAGAAGGCCTACCACGAGCAGCTGTCCGTGGCCGAGATCACCAATGCCTGCTTTGAGCCTGCCAACCAGATGGTCAAGTGTGACCCTCGCCATGGCAAGTACATGGCCTGCTGCATGTTGTACCGGGGGGACGTGGTCCCGAAAGATGTCAACGCGGCCATCGCCACCATCAAGACCAAGCGCACCATCCAGTTTGTGGATTGGTGCCCCACAGGATTTAAGGTAGGATGGGTGATGACGCGTGGTTTTACCTGTTAGCATGCTGCAGGCCCTGTGATAGGACGCTGCCCTTGTGGAGAAGACCCTGTTCCGTGGCAGCTACGCTCTTGGTTATCAGTTAGTGTACCTTTTAACAGAAGAGAAAATTTCTGAAGGATCGTTGTTCCCATTAGGATGGTGGATTTAATATGGGAAATGTAGGTTGACCTTGAAATTATTTTTAAAAATTTGAAATAGTAAAATTTACATTAATAGAAATGTAGATATTTTCTTTAAGTCCTTGTTCACAATTGGTCTTCTGCATTAGATACATCTGTAGACCTCCCACATTTATAAACCCTCATTTTGGGAATTGCATGTGATTCATGCAAAAAAAAAAAAAAATCATTAAATCTTACATAGGTTTGCAGACCATAGAGGTTTTAGGTAGGAGTTGAAACCTTCCATTCCAAGTTCTTGAGTGGGAGAAAGTTTGTTTCAGTCCTGTGACCTTTGGAAATTAAGAACATCTAAGCCAGCCTCAGCTGGGAGGCATTGTGGGAGCTGCTGTGCCCCATGCCCAGGTTCATCTCCTTGCTGAGTCTCTGGGTCCTGAGAACCAGTAGGGAGGCTGGTCTGGGAGGAGGCGCAGGAAGTCAAAGCTTCTACTGTATCCAGGGAAGACACTCCAACCTCAGATGGATCATGTGAATTCCTGCTCCTTTAAAAATTCTTTCTCATGTCTGAGTGGATTTCACCATGTTCTTTAACAACCATTTGTTTAGGGATATGGTGTTTTCAAGGAATCATCCATGTTTAAATATTTTTAGTTTTTTTTTATTATAGAAACACACATAAGTGGCAAAATATTAAAACATGAATGCTGACTCATGTCTTCTCTTTCCCCAGGGCTTTGTTTGTCCTTACAGTGACGTTCTGTGTATATTAATGTCTTATGCCTCTTGCTATATGGGTGAGGTTCACAGGAAGAGCCTAGCAGCATGGGCAAAGAATGCACATTCTCTTCACATAGGTGACAGACGCAACTTGCTGTACACAGGTGGCCAGAGAATGGGAAGCCGGCAGCACTCCCACTAGGAGGGGCTGGTTGGCCTAGCTTTGAGCCATGGGGCCCCCTAATCAGGGTCAGAACCCTCTGTGCCCTTTACCCTGCCCTTCCAACTCTCCTGGAGAATTGTGTGCCTGGCTGCTGCCTACTACTGACTACTCACCAGGGCAGAGATAGGTGACTGCCTCAGCACATTCCCAGGCATTTGTCTTCCTCCAGCATGATGCTCCCTAAGTTGTCCAAACCACTAATCTATTTATTGCTCTATGGGCATTTCTAAGCCTAAATACATAGAATTCAACTTGTTTTTCTGCTTATCAAATATACAATATATCTTGGATTATAAATATATGCCGGGACAGATTTATCATTCTTTTTCATAATCATATATAGTATTTTATTGAATATTTTACTGAATGGGCATGTAATAATGATGGGCATTTGCTTCCAGTTTTGCCATTACAAACAGCACTTTAAATACAGAGAAGTCTTTATACATGTAGCTTTATGTTCTTGTGTGAGTAAATCCTAACTGTGGAAGTATATGATCGGCCTTCACTAGATAGCTAAGTAGGTTAGAGCAGCCCCCTATATGCCAGGGTTGCAGGTTCAATCCCCAGTCAGGGCACACCCAAAAAAAAAAAATGAAATACATAGATAAATGGAAAAGTAAGTTGATGTTTCTCGAGCCCTGAAACCAATCAATCAAAAGAAACAAAGATGTAAGCAGTTAAAGGATATTAAATGTTTACAAATATTGCCAAAAACTAATGTACCAGTTTCTATAGGGCTTAATTTAAACTGGGCCCACAGCTCCAGTTTTCAAAAACAAGCTACCATTTCTGAGGCCACAATACAAACTTCACTCTATTTTCTTCTCCTCTGGCAGGTGGGCATCAACTACCAGCCCCCCACCGTCGTCCCTGGGGGAGACCTGGCCAAGGTGCAGCGGGCTGTGTGCATGCTGAGCAACACCACCGCCATCGCCGAGGCCTGGGCCCGCCTGGACCATAAGTTCGACCTCATGTATGCAAAGCGAGCCTTTGTGCATTGGTACGTGGGGGAGGGCATGGAGGAAGGGGAGTTCTCGGAGGCCCGGGAGGACCTGGCAGCTCTGGAGAAAGATTATGAAGAGGTGGGCGTGGATTCCGTGGAAGCTGAGGCTGAAGAAGGGGAAGAATACTGAATGGGAGAGTGCAGCTGGCGGGTGTACCTCTCTTCTGTTCTCTCCTGTCACCCTTCAAAGCTCCTGGTTTCAAGTTGTTGGTTATTAAAGTTTCTGTATCAAACCTGTCTGCTCACAGGAGTGGATAGCCTGCCAGGCCTGATCTGGGCTACACAGTGCTGTGCTTCAGAGTGGGTGTGGTACTACCCACACCTGTAAGGAGCTATTGCTTACATGGTATAACCTGAGGGGAACAGTCAACATTCCCAATCCAAGACCTCAAAGCGTTAACATTTACTCAATTCTAGGGAAATTGAGTTAGATTTTTTCCATTGAATTTGCCATTTTTCAGGACTGTCCATTCATGGGATATGTGGACTAAAGTAAAAAGCTTGGAATTGGAGTTTTAAATATACAGAGAGGCAAGGAGAGGGAGAGATAGAAACAACAGTGATGAGAGAGAATCATTGATAGGCTGCCTTCTGCACTCCTCCCATTGGGGACTGAGCCCACAACCCGGGCATATGCTCTAACTGGAAATTGAACTGGGACCTTCTGATTCATAGCTTGATGCTCAACCACTGAGCAACACCAGCCTGGCAGAACTGGAGTTTTAAAATCTGAAGCACATGGAAGAGGGGTGGGTGTCCACAGAATTCCTAAAATTCTGGGTCACATGTGTAAGGGCAGCATTTTAGGGATAAGGGGTTTTATTGGATTCTTCAATGGCATGCATGACCCACAGAGGTTAGAAGCTCTAAAAATTCATCCCTGTCCTGTCTGTGGTAACTTGACAGTGTTTCCCCCCCCTCCATACTTTAAACCCCTGTTCCCTGCTGAAACCGGTTTGGCTCAGTGGATAGAGCGTCGGTCTGCGGACTGAAAGGTCCCAGGTTCGATTCCGGTTAAGGGCATGTACCTTGGTTGTGGGCACATCCCCAGTAGGGGGTGTGCAGGAGGCAGCTGGTCGATGATTCTCTCTCATCGATGTTTCTAGCTAGCTATCCCTCTCCCTTTCTCTCTGTAAAAAATCAATAAAATATATATATATAAAAACCCTGCTCCCACTGCACCTGAGCACCGTAATGGTCTCAAGCAAAACATGTTGAAACGAGGTCCATGAGGGTGACGTCACTAGTTTAAGTCACTTGGTTAGTTCAGCTGTAGCATAACCAGGATGAGAAACAGAACTAATTCTAAATATTTTTGCTTTAATATATTGAAAATATGATAGAAAACATCTTGAATAGACCATGAATTTTTTTTTTTTTTACAAAAGATTTATTACCAACTGGGGGGATCATGCATAACCTCTGCTAGGAGGCTGGTGGAGCCCACAGCACGTGGTTTGCTTGGCTCAGGTACTGCTCCGAGTGGGGCTCTTCCCAGGCCCTGCCCCCTTGGGCAGCCTGGTAGCACTGGGCTGTCGGGGCATCCTCTGGCTGGATCCTTCCCGGCAGCTTCGTTCTGCCAGGGTGGGGCCTCCACCAAGAGCAGTGCTGCTTTTGTTTCTCCCTGAGCGGACACAGAAAACCATCATTAGGAACCAGCACAACCTCCACCATCACAGTGCATCTGTGTTTCATGAGCAACATTTACATCTGATATGTTTCTAGCACAGTACTTTCAGCCGGGGACCCTGTATCAGCCCAGGGTTCTGAGGCTCAAACACTGCCTACAGATGGCATATCCAAGAGCAGTCCTTGGCAGGTGCAGGAGGCCCGGGAGAGTGTCTTAGAATGAAGGCGTGGGGGTGGGAGTGTCGATGGTGAGTTTAGGGGCAGCTCAGCTTCTTGACTCCTGCCCTAGGAAGCTTTTGTGGTTAGCTACAACTGCCAGCAGCACAGGAGAGCTCATATCAGGAGAGCTGCTATCTCATTGTCCCCACAAGGCACTCTCCTCTTCTCTGGATTACCCATGTCTCAGCCCATCAGACAACACAGAAGCACAGGAGTCATCAACAGATGATGAAGTCAGGCTTTTGAACTTGGATCTTGGAAGCTCCGTTTTCCTCCCTTCCTCCCTCAGTGTCCTGCAAATGTTCAGTGGTCAAGCTTCTCGCTCTTAGGTTCACTCCCAGATCCCATGGTTGGGTCCTGCAGAGGCTTGACTGCTCAAGACTTGCCCTGACCACTAGGTAGTCACACTCAGATGGAGACCACTGGTCTGTTCCTTGATTTGTAATTTGCTTACTTTATTCTCTCTCTCTCCTTTGTGTGTGTATGTGTGTGTGTGTGTGTGTGTGTGTGTGTAGACGACAGGCATACCTGTAACCACACCTGGACTAGAGTTTTCTTTTAAATGGTTGACTTCCCTGGGCTCCGAGTGTTGACAGCATCAGCAAGACTAAGAGGACCCCCCGGGGGACAAAATGGACTGGTGGACCAGGCTCACGCACCAGCTCACAGTCCCTCCCCTCTGGGCCAGCTTCAGCCAAGGTCTGCCCTGTGGGCTTTGACCAGGATTCCTGTCTCCTGCTTGACCCCTAGTCTCCTCCAGGGTTCAGGGTCAAATATACTGCCTCAGGGAAATTCTGAGTTGTTGGAGAAAAGATGCAACCAAGTTTCTTAGGGGCCTGTTAAGTCATTTCTGTCTTTACCATTTGTCACCTTGAGCAAGCCGAGGCACCTGCCTTTGAAACTGCAGACCCTGGCTTTATAGAACATCGGGCTCACTTTCCATGCTCTCCAAGACGGACAACTAAGTTCTTCCCAGGATTCCTGCAGGGCTATGACATCCCTTCTTAAGACAATGTCTGGAAAGTACTTCCTCAGAGAGCGGGGTCTTTGCTGCCCTGTGTGGCAGGGGTCACAGTGGTTCCTCCTCTGGAACTTGGGACAGCTCCGGTTTCCTCTGCCTCACCTCCCTGGTCTTCACACTCAAGTGTTCATGTGCACTTGACTCGACAGAAATGTAATAACAGGTTACCCAGGGCCAAGGTGGAACAGACAGGAGCATGTTGTGGGGGTAAAGCTGAGTCAACTCCGCCTGCCTTTAAATCTGACAAGATCAGTGACTCACAAAAAAAGCAGATACAAAGAGAACTGTCATCCACATTTTCTTTGGTACAAATGCCAATATTCTGTCAGTGCAACTAGCCCTATGAGCCGCGCCACCCCCAGCGTCTCCCAGCATGCCAGTGCCCCGCTCGGATGCCATAGCACCTCCCAGGCCGGGCCAGGCAGAATTAGGTCTTCCGTGGCATCCTCCCTGCCCTCAGCCTCTTCTCTGGGGCAGGGGCACCTCTGTAGAGCACAAGTCTCACCAAGCAGAGTTAGTCTCTGGGGGTGGGAGGGAGGGTGTTAGGGGTACTGCAGGTTGTCTCTTAATAAACCATGAAATTGTGCCTTCAGTCTCTACGCTGCGTGGCAGAGATGGCCAGCAGGATCCTGCCCTTGCAGCCAGAAGCTGTTCTGGCTTTCTTGGGTCACAGCAGTTTCCATGGAAACAAGAGAGCACAACAACCCCCCAGAGATAAACCAATAAATGCAACCTGCAAAAGGAGAGAACAGGCAGCAAGAGTACCGGAGGGAACCGGGGGGCCCAGGAGAGAGAGGCGAGTGCGTGGCAGCCGGGCTGTGGTGCAGAACCGGAGAGGCCGCGGGCCGCGGGGCTGAGGAAAAGGAGGCCCTTGCAGGGGGGCTACAGTTCTTGGCAAAGAGAAAGGAGGCCTCTGCAGGTCAGAGAGAGACACAAAGAGAGCAGACGGAGCATGGGTCAGTGAGGAAGCCCAGCGCCTCTCAGGAAAGGGGGCTTGAATGCCTAGGGCCCTGGCACTCCCACCCAAAGGGGCCAGCCTGCCCTCCACTCCAATGGCAGCTGCTGCTCAGGATGCCTGTAAGTGCCTGAGCGTTCTGGCCCAGAAGCCAGCCCAGGGAGGTTCGGCTGCATTACAGAGGGTTTCTGACAGTCATCAGGGGCAGAAGTGACAGGCAGGGAGCTCTGCCTTGACATTCTCGTCACCAGCCCCTGTTCGTAATCCTTGAGCGTGAGGAGGCCCCAGCAAGCCTGAGCCCAGGTGCTCTGCCACTCGAGCCTCTGCACTCTGAGTGCCCAGGGCAGCCAGGACTGCCACACTGACTCCTGGGCAGGATCTGGAGCCGGGTGAGGTGGGTTCAGGGAAGGCGGTTGTAGGAAAGCCTCTTTGCTTGCCCACTCCGTGAGCACTAACCCAGAGAGTGTACACACCATGAGAAGAGGAACCAAAGCAGTCTTGTCCCTGTGTTTGTGGCATGAAGGCATGAGTTATGAAGTGAGAAGAGGCTGGGACAGGTGAGGCCTAGCCTGCTTGGGCCACGTTGGGGCACCCATTCTGCATCCATCTGATCCAAACCTGCTCTCTCAAGGCTAGCATTGAAGCCAAAGCTGGGGGCTGCACCAAATGGGAGCGCCCCTGGGTGGGTCCAGTGCGTCATGGGAGAAGACCTACAGGAAGGCCTGGCCACTGAAGGTTTAGCCCGCTGTGCGTGGCACTGCCCACCTCCTGGGCCACCACCACCACCACCCTGCAGCCTGGGTCACGGGCAGAGAACATCCCAGCTGACCTCTAGTCTCAGGCACACTCGATGTGGGCACGGATACTCCAGCAGGATCCTGGGGCTCGCTTGCCAGCCTCTGCCCGGCACACATGGATTTGAGCATCTGGAAGACTGCGAGGGGCGCGACGTTCAGCTTCAGCAGGTCCACCAGGATCCTGGTGAGAAAAGATGCGGTGCGCAGTGAGCCCTACTGGTCCCAGGCCCGTCTGCTGGGACGGGAACGGGGCAGGCACGACTACCAGACTGACACTAGGTCCAGGAGGGCAACCTTTGTCAAGGTCCCGACTATATTCTGAGCTCTCAGAGGGTCAGACAAAGATGGGAGGCTCTAATATACAGATCAGTGGCCTGGCGGGGTCTAATAGCCGGGTTGTCTGGGGGTCGGACCAGCGCGCAGCCTCCACCCGCGCCCGCTCACTTGAACACGTCGGGATCCATGGCGCCGCCCGCCGCCTGCGCCAGCTCGTACAGCTCCATCTCCTCGGCACTCAGCACCTTCTTTCGCCGCAGCGCGAGCTTCTGTAGCGCTGCCTCCAGCCCCGGAGGTGGCCCCGGACCGGGCCCGGCGCCCGGCGTCGCCATCTGCGGGGCCTGCGGGAAGGTGCGCGCCCCACTCCGTCCCGCCCCGCCGGGCGCTCCCACGGCGCCCTCTACTGGCCCGGCCGGCTGTTCCTCTCCCTGCAGCGTCACCGTGTTGCCTCCGGACACCCCTACACTGGAGGGCAGGGATCAGTCTGTCTTCCCTCTTTCATTCGACCCACATTTACGTGCCGGGCATTGTGTTAGGCGTGGTGGAGACCGTGGCAGACCAAGGAGACCCGCTCCTTGGCCATCAGGACTAGGGTGCGTTAGTCGTTTTCGCTTAAGTAGCAACATCCAGCGCAGTGCCTGACATACAATGGGCGCTCAATAAGTGCCTGTGGGACGAAGGGCAGTCAATGCACAGTTGTATACAGTAGTTGTTCCTGACCCGGATGCTCCATTGGGGGCGCGCCCCGAGAGCCCACTAACAGCCTCTCCTCACGCGCACGCGCCCTCCTCGTCTCGCGTACAGTGCGTGAGCTCAGGCCTCCACTGCGCACGCGCCTACACACTTGAAACCCATAAACCCCGCCAGCCTTCGCTTTGCGCACGCGCTTTTTGAGGTACTAGCAGCTGCCGGCAAGTAGCGGAGCGTTTCCCGCCAAAGCCAGGGGGCGTGGCGCGGCGCGCAGCTTGATGACGACATCTCGGCGCCGGAAAGCCGAATGTTAGCCGCGGGCCCCCGAGGATGAGAGACGCTCCAGACTCCACAGGTGAGTAGCGGGAGCGGCGCGCGCCCGACGGTCCCGGCATCCTCTCTGGACTTCCGCTGAAGCGGTGTTCGTTCCTCCGCGAGCCCCGGCCGGGCCTCCGCGTCTCTGCCCCGGCCGGGCCGGCGGGGGAGCCTAGGGCCTGGGCTCCGCCCTCATGCCGCCTTCCCGCGCGGCTCACACATCCAGTCCAGGTGGGTGCCCTGTTAACGTTCGTTGAACGAGTTGGAGGAAGGAAAGCTTCGAGTTAAACTTGAGCTTTGGACTCAACAAACCGTGTTAGGAGGAAGAGCCGGGTGTGGGTCCCGGCCCGAGCCGTCCTCCCATTGTCCGAGCCGATTTCCCCCTCTGTGGTGTGGGGATATTGTCCAACGCCTACTCCACGGGGCAGTTGTGAGCTACACAAGGGAGCCTGCTCGGCTTCTCAGAGCAGCTAGAGGGAGTCGTTGGCCGTAGCGTGATTTGCTTGGCATAATCAGCCATGACTGAGGACGGCCGCTCTCAGAAGAGACCCCAAAACTAGATCCGAAGCAGCTCCTGAGGAAAGTGGTTGTGGAAATGGTAGGATGAAGCAGATGCTTGGTGCACAGCACAGAAGGGGTGAGGCGGGGGGGGAGGGGGCAAGACCAAGGCAGGGTCAGAGAACTGTGTAAAGGTCACTGCCTGCCTTGGGAAGACCCCTAGTTTGGCATCTCTGGCCTCGTTCCATCAGCCTCTGCCTGGTACACACTTCCTCTGAGCAAGGAAGTGCTTTCACCTCATCCTAAAGCTCTGCCCTTTGCAAACAATTCAGGATTTTATGCTGCTTTGATAATTTTGGAATAGTTCCCTTGACCACTTGATTCAGGACTGAGGTGTTTTAAGTTTGTTTTGTTTTTTAACTGAAACTAATAGCTAGCTTAAGGGGGGTGGGGGGTGGGGGCTTGGAGGTGTTTTTATTACCAAATGACAGATATGTGCATCTCCTATCAACTTCTCTGCTGCCTACACAATCTCCTTGCACCGAACCTCCATCCACATGAAGTTGTCAGTTGCTGCCTCAGGCCCCTTACTCAGGACAGTAGGCAAAACTGTGCAAGGAAAAGCCAGCAGTTACCCATCATTGGAACTAGGCATGCTTCCTCTCTGCTCAGTCCAAGGCTGAAATCAAGGTGCTGGCCAGCTTTGCTCTTCTCTAGATGCTCTGGAGAAGAAGCTGCTTTCAGACTTACTCAGGTTGCTGTCAGAATCTAGTTCTTTGGTGTTGTAGAACTAAGGTCCCCGTTCCCTTGCTGGCTGTCAGCCAAGACTGCACTGTATTTTATGGCCCACTGACTTGAGACTTGAAATTGTATCTGCAAAATTCTTTCACAGCAATATCTAGATGATTGTGATTGCGTAACCAGGGACCGGCGCTTGGAGGGCTATCTTTAGAATTCTGCCTATAAGTAAATGAGAAATACATGAACCAAGCCTGGCACATATCAAGTGTTATACAAGCGTTACCACGTATTAGCAAGGATTTGCCACCACAAACGTGTCTTTGAAGCTGGCCAATGTAGACCGCATGAGAATGGCATGTGTGTGATGAGTTATACAAATGTTCTCCTGGGCATTGTGAAACGATAACAGTGTTCTGCTTGGCAGATGTTGAGATTTCATATTTGCTTTTCCACAGTGGTTTCCTAAGACGATCATTTTCAACTCCACCAGAGGCTACTATGGCATTCCCTCACCTGCAGCAGCCCAGCTTCCTACTGGTAAGTAAATATCAGCTGCCCGTGTGAGTGTCCGTTCAAAGCTGAGCGATCTGGGAGTTCCTTCCACCAACGCGAACTCTCCAGTGGTTGTTTTAGGGTGTGTGTGATGGGAATAACACTTGACTCGGGATTGAAATCCTTAGGCTTGGCTCTGCCTCTGCAGGACCTTGGGCCTCTTTGAGTTCCTCTTGTTTGGGACTATCTGCACTTTCTGGACTTGTAAGTCTGTTTCTTTCACCAAGTGGGGGAAGTTTTCACTCATTATTTCTTCAAATTGGTTTTCAATTTCTTGCTCTCATCTTTTGGCACCCCTGTAATGTTAATGTTGGTACACTAAAAAGTTGTCCCAGAGATTCCTTATGCTTTCTTCATATTTTTTTTTTATTCTTTTTTCTTTTTGCTCTTCTGATTGGGTGTTTTTTACTTTCTCATATTCCAAATCATTGACTTGATTTTTGGAATCCTCTACTGTTGAATCCCTGTAAATGGTTCTTTACTTCAGTTAGTGTATGCTTAATTTCTGACTGGTCATTTTTCATGACATTGAAATTCTCACTAAGATCCTTGAAAGTCTCACTAGTCCCTTGAAGCTCTCATGAAGATCCTTGAGTAACCTTATAATCATGGTTTTGAACTTGGTTTCTAGTAGTTTGCTTGCTTCCATTTCTTTCATTTGTGATGTGTTTCTTTGTCTCAGAATTTTTGCTGCTTACTTGTGTTTATATATGTTACGGAGAGCTACTGTATCTCCTGGAATTGGTAGAGTGGCCTTGTGTAGTCAGTGTCTGTAGGGCCCAGTGGCTCAACCTCCCTAGTTACTTGAGCTGGACACTCTAGGTGTGTCCCTGTGTGAGCCATGTGCACTGTCTTATAGTTGAGCCTTGATTGCTGTTGGCATCTCTAGGAGGAGTTGACCTCCAAGCCAATTGGCTGTGAGGACCAGCTGCAAGACAGAGGGAGAACTGCTTTGCAGGAGGCGAGGCTCAGCTGTGAAGCAAGGCAGGCTTATGCTAGAGCTGGACTAGAGCCTTTTATTGGTAGGATTGGGGCACACTGTCAACAGCTGCAGCTTGTTTGAGGGATGTTAGCAAAGTCTGAAGTCTGAGCCAGGACAGGCCATTCATATGGAAAAGCTGCTGCAAACAGCTTGGATGGGGCTGCACATTGGATGGGGCATGGTTAGGGAATCCCCAGGGCAGAGCAAACAGTGTGGGCTGCCAGATCTGGCTGCCAGTCAGCCCTGTAATAGGGGAGGTCCTAGCGCAGGAACAGTGATCCTTGCAAGCACCTCTGTCTAAGAGAAAGCCGCCCCTGGGTTCCTGTCCCTTTGCCCGACAGTTCAATTCCTCCTCATATGTGTCTGAGTCCTCCAGAGCTGCCTGGTGCTGGAGCTCAGAGGTATTGAATCTAAGTGTGTTTGTGTGCCAACCCTTTAAAAGGAACAACTGGGTCTCCAGCAGCCCCTGTGTCTCTTAGCCACAAGCCCATTGGTTTTTACAGCCCATAGTTATGGGGACTTCTCTTCCTAGTTCTGGAACCCTGAGCTGGGGGTCTGGTGTGGGGCTGGGATCCCTTGCTCCTCTTGGGCAGCTTCCACAAAGACAACCTCCCTCCCAATTAAAAAATCGACACAGGTGGATATCGGATCATCCTGGTCTGCACCTCTGCCCCTCATACCAATCTCAATGTGCTTTCTTTTTTCTTTAATTGTAGAATTTCCATTCAGTCTTCTTTCAGGCGGTTCTAAATGATAGTGGTTCTATATTTTTAGTTGTAATTTCGATGTGGTTGTGGGAAGTGGCGAGTGCAGGCATTTACATCTTGCAAGGTCCCTGCCTTTTTCTTTTTTCTTTTTTTACCTTCCTGTTTGTCTTTATTACTCCTTTTATTATTTCTAATTTAAATTCTTTATTGTTTGAAGTATTACATATGTCTCCTTTTTCCCCAATTGACCTCTCCCTGGCTGCTCTCCCTTTCCCCCAGCACATGTCCCTTCTCCCCAGCAAATGTCCCTGCCCCCCTACTGTCTGTGTCCTTTGGTTAGGCTTATATACATGCATACAAGTCCTTTGGTTGATCTCCTACCCACCCCCATTCCCTACTCTCGCCTGCCTTCCCTCTGAGGTTCCATGGTCTGTTTGATTCTTCTATGTCTCTGGATCTATTTTAGTTTATCATTTTATGTTGTTCATTATATTCTACAAATGAGTGAGATCATGTGATATTTATCTGGCTTATTTCGTTTAGCATAATGCTCTCCAGGTCCATCCATTCTATTGCAAATGGTAAGAGTTCTTTTTATTATTTTTATAGCAGCATAATATTCCATTGTGTAGTTGTATCAGTTTTTTAATCCACTCATCTGCTGATGGGCACTTAGGCTGTTTCCAAATCTTAGCTATTATAAATTGTGCTGCTATGAACAGGGGTGCATTTATTCTTATTGATGTTTCTGATTTCTTGGGATCCCTGCCTATTTCTTAAGGTTATGAAGGTTTAGTAGGTTCATCATTACTGAATAAAAGACATTTTAGTTAAGGCTTAAATAGCAACAAATAACACCCTCATTTTATTGGTCATTCTTACTGGTGGTCACAGTGGTGTAAATCATGGGTGGGCACTCTTATAAGGATTTTATAGTTCATTACATACACACTTTGTAAGCACTCTGTGGTCTATGGGGGAGCCCTACTCCATAGGGGTCTCCTGAATGTGGGGCTAACCCCCTGCTTGAGGGTCAGGCAGAAGTCAATTTTATATTGGTAACATGCAATTCTTTGAGGTAATTGGGGATGCCTAACAGAGGCTGCTGGGAAGCAAGCCTGATAGTTACTTGTCTTGAAGGTGTGGTACCTCTAGTAGCATCCTTTAGGTCACTGACATGCCTGACCTAATGTATGAGGTGCTGGGGAATCAGGTCGGTGGTGTGTATCTCACTCCTGCCTGTCATGTGGATTTCTATTTTTACTTGATCCAGAATATCATCAAAAGCTGAAAAATGAATGTGCTCATGGTATTTTTTTTTTCTTTCGGTTTCTTATAGGCTAGCCTGAAAGCTGACGCAATAAATAAGCCCTTTGCACAGCGATGCCAAGACTTAGTTAAAGTCATAGAGGATTTTCCAGCAAAGGTACAGCTCTGCTAGCATCTCTTTGGGGCATGTCTCATTCTATCCTTGAAAAATGTTCTTACAGTCCCTGGTTTCCACCTCTGAGCTCTGCCCTACACAGAGTCCTGACCTGGCATTGTGGCTGTCACATTTGTGGACACATTTAAGCATGTGAACATGTAAGCCAGGATTTTCTACCGTGCATGTTTTTGTCCCACATGGGATGCTTGGCAATGTCCAGGGACATTTTTAATGATCACACAGGAGTGCTGCTACTAGTATCAAGCGGTAGAGACCAGCCATGCTGGTAAGCCATCTCAAAATGCCCAGGGCAGCCCCACAATAAAGAAGTATTCAGCCTAAAATGTCAACAGTACCAAAGTTGAGAAACTGGTATAAATACTGAAAATATGTACTCCCATCACACCCAGATTTGTCCATTAGTAGTAAATGAGATAAGTTTAAGAAGCCAGCTGGACAAGGAGTTACTACCAAATGACAGCAAATCTCAGTTTCAAGGGCTCATTTTGAGAAGAACATGCCACCCTTAGTAAAGCTCTCTTTAATATAGTGACTAATTTAACTGGCCCAGATATAACAGTACTGCTAGACATGCTCTATAACCACGATGAAAGGCTCCAAGGCTGCTGCTCTCCTGTTGGTACTCTTGTGCCAGGGTTCCTGGGGGTGCCAGGCTGGTCCTGTGAGGGCTTTTGAACCAGGGAGTAACATGCTCAGAGCTCAGGTTCAGCTAGGGAAGTGGGCAGCGTGAGGTGCAGGACTGGCGCTGGCACACAGCCCAGCAGTGAGCACTGGTCCTCAGCAAGCCTGCCCAAAGCCTCACCCTCTCACTGTTTCAGGAGCTGCATGCCATCTTCCCATGGCTGGTAGAGAGCATTTTCGGCAGCTTGGATGGTCTTCTCATCGGCTGGAACCTCCGCTCCTTACAGGGACGTGTGAGCCCTGTAGAATACAGCATTGCGATGGAATTTCTAGACCCTGGGTAGGTAGGTTTGTCACCTGAGGAGCTGGATGTTTCCTCTGCTGATCCCATTTTTAAATCATTGTATTTTTCAAAGTTAGAAACAAATCCAAGCAAGATGGTTTGCAGTTCATTTGCCTGCTTTTCTTGTTTTAATTTCATGTTCAGTGGCCCAATGATGAAGTTGGTATATAAACTTCAAGCTGAAGACTATAAGTTTGACTTTCCTGTCTCCTACCTGCCTGTAAGTAAGCCCTGGCAGTGAAAGCTGTGCTTGCGCAGAGACCCCAGATAGTGACTGCAGTGGTGGTAGGTGGGCAGGGGCTCAGAGGGGCTGTCACAGTGGGCAGGAGAATGCCATGGTGTCTGTTCAGGGTTAAGGAGACATCAAAAGTTGGAATTTTTAAGATCACAAATTCTGCCAATGGGGAAGGCACCATGCTGCCGGTTTGCTACTGGCTGGATGATAGACAGGGCCATGTGACTGGTTACAACAGGGATTTGCTCGGCAGGTTGAAAAGCAGAGGAGATGGGATTCATCAAGCTTATAAATGTGCACAGCTGCTGCCTTTGCTGTTTGCAGGTTTTGTGATGATAATAGTGGCCTAGTGCATGGATTTGTGCACTGGTGGGGACCTCAGCCTGGCCTGTGGGAATCCGGCCAAAACCGGCAGTCCAGTATACCCTGAGGGATCCCAGAATGTGAGAGGGCACTGCAAAGATGCTATTGCTTGGCTGCTCCTGCATTGAGCATCTGCCCCCTAGTGGTCAGTGCGCTCATAGCTACTGGTCGGTCCACTGTCGCTTGGGCTTTTTTATAGGTAGGTAGGTAGGTAGGTAGATGAGAGATTCTAAGTGAAAGCTTGCTCAAGGGTTATGCAGAGGATAGTGCTGTTCCCATGAACAGGGTCCAGGTGCTGGTCATCTCAGCAGCCTTCCCAAAGGCCTGCACCACATGTGGGGCGCTGAACCAGAGCCTGCCTGTGACCTGCCTCCTCTCTCTACAGGGCCCCGTGAAGGCGTCCATCCAGGAGCATATGGTCCCTGACAGTCCTCTGTACCACAACAAGGTCCAGTTCCCCCCCACCGGGGGCCTTGGCCTGAACCTGGCCCTCAGTATCCTTTGCTGACCCCACGGGTAGGGAGGCTGGGGTGGCCAGCACAGTGTGGGTTGGTGGGGGTGCGGTGGCCCAACATCCCTGCCGTTTGTCCCCTGATCCTGCCTTCAGATCCGTTCGAGTATTATATGTTCTTTTTCGCTCTGAGCCTCATCACTCAAAAGGTACAGAAGGGATTCCTCTGAACAGTTTGCTTCACTGGAAACCCCTGAGGGGGGTCGTGGCCCTGGGCTCTTGTTTTCACACGGCAAGGGAGCTTGGGGGCCAGCTGCCAGCCTTTCTTTTCCATTTCTCCGTTTCCCTTCCTGCCTTCCTTTCCTTCCTCCTCCAGTGTTTGTCCTTCAGGCCATTCTCACTTGGGGCAATAGACTGGTGGGCAGACTTGACAGGTGATGTGGCAGTCAGGGGCTTCCCACAGGAGGTGCTTACCGGACAGTGGGGCAGAGTGGAGGGTCACAGCTGGGTAGCACTGAGGGTTTGGTCAGGCTGTCTGTGACGGCGGCTTTTCTCCTGGCACCACCCTCAGTGTGCGTGGGCTGGCCTCAGGGAAGCACCCATCCCAAGGCTTTCGTGTGATTGCTGGGGTCAGCAGCCTGGGGCGGTGCCCCGAGCCACCCACTAACTCGCGTTTTGTTTTCAGCCACTCCCCGGGGCCCTCCATGTTCGTACTTCAGACTGCGCGTATTTCATCCTGGTGGACAGGTACCTGTCGTGGTTCCTGCCCACAGAAGGCAGCGTGCTCCCCCTGCTCTCCTCCAGTCCCGGGGGGCCCAGCCCCTCACCAGCTCCCAGGTAAGGCTCTCCAGTGAGCCTGGCCTTTGGCCAGTACCTGAGGTGTCCCGTGCCTGCCACTAGCTATTCTACAAAAGAGTAGCCTGGTCAGTGAGCATGGCTCATGCAACAATGGTGCCCACTCTGTCCAGGGCTCCCCAGTTTTTCTTATGCCTGAGATGCCCAGCTGCCACAGCACAGACTAAAGTGCAGGGTAAGATGGAAACTGGTTTGGCTCAGTGGATAGAGCGTCGGTCTGCGGACTGAAGGGTCCCAGGTTCGATTCCGGTCAAGGACATGTACCTTGGTTGCGGCACATCCCCAGTAGGGGGTGTGCAGGAGGCAGCTGATCCACGTTTCTCTCTCATCGATGTTTCTAACTCTCTATCCCTCTCCCTTCCTCTCTGTAAAAAAATCAATAAAATATTTTTTTAAATAAAAAAAATAAAGATAAAGTGCAGGGTAAGGAGAGTGTCTGTTTTGGCTTTAGTGGCCATCCCTGAAGTGATCAGGTCCTGTGGCCACATGGCCCTGCTGTGAAAACGGGCTGTGTTCTGCCCATAGCATCCCTCCCCACATGCAACATCCATTCTCTACACCGAGGTGCTAGTGTTCTCTGCATGGTGCCAATTTTAGTATGTGTGCTGCTGAAGCAGCAGTGTTGTTGACCAAAATATTTGTTATGTGATCCATGAAGTGGTGGGAATCAACGTGACTCGAGAACCAGGTGTTGGCCGGAGCCAGAGCTCCTGGGATGGAGAGCCTTTTCTGTCAGTGAGCAGGCTGTTACTGTGCAGAAGGAGTGTGTGCCGCCTGTCGCAGCCTGGAAGTGACGGGGCCTTTGCTGGCTCTCCCCAGGAGATCCTCCCGCCTAACAGCCACTGCCCGTGCTCCTCTGACCCTCCTCCACCTCACTGGCCCAACTCTTTCCCTGGGAGAGTCCAGGCAGGCTCTTTCATGCACATCTTAGTCCACCCCACATCTGGCACATGCCATACCCCAAGCTCACAAATATGGACAGAAGCCCAAGGAAAGGGGATTGAAAGAGGGGAGAGGTGTCTTGGGTGTGGATCAGAATCACGCCTTCTCTCAGGCAGACTGCAGCTGCCAAATGGTTTTCTGGGCTTGATTTTGTCTGCTTGTTTTTACATATTTAAGACTGACAAAAAAGTTGCTGTGCATAACGTAAAGAATTACCCTTCAGCCAGGTTTCTAAATGGTTTTTATCCTCTATATGCTTTTTCCGGGTCCTTTAAGTAAGTTATAGATATGATGCCCATTATCTCTTAATATTTCAGAGTGTATCTCCTCATAGTGAGTGCACACTCCTTCATAACCACAGCACTTCTCTCCCAGTCAGGGAGCAGGGATTGCTACAAGGCCAGTGTCTGATCCTCAGACTCCCTTGGGCTTCACCAGCTATCCCATCAGTGGCAGCTACCTGGCTAGGATTCAGCTCAGGATCACTTACTACATACAGGTGTCTCTCTAATCCCCTTCTGTCTGCAACTGGATCTCAATCTTTCCTGTCCTTGACACCTTTGTAGCATGCAGTCTAGGTGTGTGCAGAATGCCCTTGACCTGGGTTCTCAGGTATTTTCTTGTGATTGGGCCCAGGTTGGACATGGTTTGGAAGGAGCTGTGCAGCGGTGACCCATGGTGTCCATGTGCCCCATTAGAGGCAACATTGGCTTGGTCACTGGGCTAAGGGGGAGTTGGCCATGTTTTCCTGCTGTAAAGTTTTTTGTGCCTAAATTAATTGACAAGGGGAATTTAATGGGAAGATATTCTGAAACTATTCACTTATCACTTAATGTTAGCATCCCTTGGTGGTCCTTGGCCAAATCAGTTATTAATGGAATGGTGCCAAGTGATGAGTTTTTACATTTCATCACTTGTTTGTTTCCTAGGGAACAGTCTCTTCCCATTTGTTTGTGTAAATCCACGTGGACTGGGGAGTCATTCTATGATTCAACAGGCTGTAATTGTTATTGTGGTCGTTGGTTTTGATGTCCAGTTGCCCCTGGGTATGGCAGCGGGAGCCCCTAATGAAGGCCTGTTTCTGTGTCTTCCTCAGGACTCCAGCCATGCCTTTCGCTTCCTATGGCCTCCACCACACCAGTCTTCTGAAGCGACATCTCTCTCACCAGACATCTGTGAACGCAGACCCTGCCTCCCATGAGATCTGGAGGTCGGAAACTCTACTCCAGGTGAGTACTGAGACAACTCCGCTCTGCTTCCATTTCAAAGTAAACTGCTCACCACTTTCCACCCCATGGGCCAGAGGCCTAAAGACTGCCCCTGAGCTGCAAGGTGCTTCTAAATTATCAGTATTTCCCTTCTGTGACATTTAGAAGAAATTTACCCGCCTGTCTAACCTGTATCTCATTGCCAGTGTTTTTCATTCGAGGATTTCCTGTGCAGGGTTTTGTTTTTCTCATGGTGATGTAATCACTGCCCAGTCTTGTAGTTTCTGATAGATCTGTGTAAATGCTCTCACCACGCACCTGTCCGACGCACTCCTATGTGGTTCGGAAGGTTTCCTGTGACCTCTGTTGTGTGGGTATTAAACCCTGCACCAGCTATGTTTTTGTGATGCTTAGTAGAGAGGGCCTTTGAAGCCTTCACTTGGTCAGCAGGCAGCCCCCGCCTTCTGTACGAGGGACCCACAGGGGAGCTGGCAGTGCCCCATGTCAGCCTCTCCTCCAGGCTTGGTCTGGCTCACTCCCTCGGCGCAGCACTGGCCACCTTCTGGGCCTTGCTGTCTCCCCTTGGAGAGTGAGGTTAGGCTGGTTCTGACTCAGGATTCGGGCTGAGACAGCAAGCACAAACATTGCTTGTCGACAACCTGGAGTGGTAAGATGGGGTTCTGTCCCTCCCACCTGGTACATAACTCTTGGCGTGGGGGTTGCTGTGTTTTTAGAGGCTTCCAGGTTATTGTCAGCAGCACTGGGATGTGGGGCATCTGGGATCATCTTCCCTGTTCACCGAGGGGTCCGTGCTTCCATTAGCTCCCAGCTAAGCGGGCTCTGGCTTCTGCCAGCCGTGAGGGGGCAGGTGACCAAGGCATGGGCTTATAGGACAGAACGCGAGGGTTGTTTTCCATTGCATTTTTAAAATATATTTTGAATTATGGTAAAATACACATGATATAAATTTTATTATCTTAACCACTTTAAAGTATATTTACATTGTTATAATTGATCTCAAAACTTTATCGTGAAAAATTGAAACTCTGTACCCACTAACCAATAATTCCTGATTCTTCTTCTCCCCAGCCCCTGGCAACCACTACCCTACTATATTTCTAGAAATTTGACCTACTCTGGGTGCCTATATAAATGGAACCATGATTTTTTTTTTAATGACTGACTTCACTTAGTGTAGCATGTGTTAGAATTTCCTCCCTTTTTAAGGATATTTAGAAATATCCCATTGTAAGAGCCATATTGGCCCTAATTGGTTTGGTTAGGTGGATAAAGCATCGGCCTGCAGACTGAAGGGTCCCAGGTTTGATTCCTGTCTAGGACATGTACCTTGGTTGTGGGCACATCCCCAGTTAGGGGGTGTGCAGGAGGCAGCTGGTCGATGTTTCTCTCTCATCAATGTTTCTAACTCTATCCTTCTCCCATCCTCTGTAAAAAAATCACTAAAGCCCTAACTGGTTTGGCTCAGTGGATAGAGAGCGTTGGCCTGCAGACTGAAGGATCCCAGGTTCAATTCCAGACAAGGACATGTACCTTGGTTGCGGGCACATCCCCAGTAGGAGGTGTGCAAGAGGCAGCTGATCCATGTTTCTCTCTTATCGATGTTTCTAACTTTCCCTCTCCCTTCCTCTCTGTAAAAAATCAAAATATATTTTTTAAATATATAAAAATAAAATAAATCAATAAAATATATATATTTTTTAAAAACAGCCATACTGTTTCCACAGTGACTGCACCATTTTGCATTCCCACCAGCAGTGCACAAAGGCTCCAATTATTTCACATCCTCTCCAACACTCATTTTTTGGGGGTTTTTTATTTTTGTTTTTTTTATATATATATATATACATATACATATATATATATACACATATACATACATATACATACATACATATATATATATATATATATATAATTGATTTTTTTTTACAGAAAGGAAGGAGAGAGGGATAGAGAGTTAGGAACATCAATGAGAGAGAAACATTGATCAGCTGCCTCCTGTACACCCCCCACCGGGAATGTGCCTGCAACGAAGGTACATGCCCTTGACCAGAATCGAACCTGGGACCCTTTTGTCTGTAGGCCGTTTCGGCTTTGTTTGTTTTTCACGATGCCCATTCTAATGGATATGAGGTAGTATCTCCTTGTGATTTTGATTTGTTGCTCTAATGATTAGTGGTATGAAGCATCTTTTCATGTCCTATTGGATATTTGTCTATCTTTGGAGAAATGCCTATTTAAGTCCTTTACCCATTTTTTTTATTTGTGCTGTTTCTTTTTATGTTGTTGAGTTTTAGGCATTCTCTATATAAAGTGTTTTATCAGATACATGAATTGCAAATATTTTCCTCCATTCTTTGAGTTGCTTTTTTACTCTGCCTATGATATCTTTTTATTTATTCATTACTTTTTAAAATATATTTTTATTGATTTCAGAGAGGAAGAAAGGGAAACAGAGATAGAAACATCAATGATCTAAAAGAATCATTGCTCAGCTGCCTTCTGCATGCCCTCCATTAGGGATTGAGCCCGCAAACCAAGCATGTGCCCTAACCAAGTATCGAGCCATAACCTCCTGGTCCATAGGTCAACCCTCAGCCACTGAGCGACATTGGCTGGACTGTCGATAATATCTTCTGACAGAAAAGTTTTTCATTTTCATGAAGTTCATTTTATCTAGTTTTCCTTTATTGTCTGTGCTTTTGAAATCATGTCTTAAGAAATCATCGCCGAATTCCATATCATGAAGGTTTCTCCCTGGGCTTTCTTCTAAGAATTTTATCATTTTAGCTCTTTCATTTAGGTCTTGGATCCATTTTGAGTTATTTTTTGTTTATGGTGTTAGGTAAGGGTCCAAATTCATTCACTTGCATGTGGGTATCCTGTTTCCCAGCAGCATTTGTTGAAAACACTCCTTTCCTCCATAGAATAGTCTTGACGCTGTTGCTAATTCATTTAACCAGCTAATGCTCTTTTGCAGGTTTTTGTTGAAATGTGGCTTCATCATTATTCCTTGGAGATGTATCAGAAAATGCAGTCCCCTCATGCCAAGGTATGTTGCCATAGTTTCTTTCCATCCCCTGCTCTTGTCCTGGTGTGCCTGGCCAGCCAGCTACTTGATGTCAGTTAGTTTTCTGGGTGGTGTGCTTGCACCCTGAGAGCTGGAGGCCTGTGGTCTGGGGTCCTCCTGAGCTACGTCCAGAGCCCCCTTGGTGGCAGGAGGAACAGATGAGGTGGTGGTGCTTGTGCTCTGCGGGCAGGGGAGCTGCTGATGCTTCTGGGAGACATGTCTGGTCTGTCACGTCTATCGTCACAGCGCTTCCTGCTTTCCTGCTGAGGGGGTGCCTGACAGACCGCGGCCACCCCGGCGCTCCGCCTTCTGCACATCCGCAGGCTGTGTGTTGGGTGGAGTCCTGCGCCCTCCTGCATATGGCCTAGTCTGTTTCCTCCTCCTCCTCACCTCTCCCCCTTCTCTCGCTGGGCTACTGGTGTGTAAGGATGTGGAGGTGGCTGAAACCCTGGCACCCTCGGGGGCTGCTGTCCCCAGGCCCATAGCCCACGGGACTTGTCAGGGTAGAACAGTTCTGTTCCGTTAGTAAGCTGGGCACTAACTCTGTGAGTCAGCAGTGCCTGGCTTCTTTGTACCCGGTTGCTTCTGTCACTGTCAGACAGAATTCTCATAAGCTTCCTTGAGAATGAAGGATCTGTGGTTTTTATAAAAATGGAAAATGGCTGTCTGTAGCTTTTGCTCTGTGATTCTGGGGAGAAGTGGGGGTTCTGTTCCTGCTGCAGAGTCTAAGCAACCAGTTCTGTGGTCCCAGTGTTCTGCCAAGTGGAGGGCTGGGGTGCAGCTCTCCCACCGCTGCTCTTTTAAAGCGCCCCAAACCTGCTTCCTTGGTGTCACATAGGAGGAGGAGGAGGAGGAGACAGGGGACTCCATCCTGGGCCTCATGTCACAGAGCTCGTGCGCTGCTCTCCCACCTCCCAGAGCTGGCTCTGCATGTGCCTGGCTGGTGCACGTGGTCAGGGTCCTGAGGCTCGCGTCGCCCCTGTGCACGTGGCTTAGTCTTGCAGAAGCAGAAGCCACTCCGCTGCATTGCCTGCCTTGTCTGCTTGTCCTGTCGTCCGAGCCAGTGGAAGCATGCCGCTTTCGTTTTTAGCAGATGTGTGAGGCAGAAAGGCCTTTCTGGTCTGAGTCCACATGGGGAAGGGGCAGTGCCTGTCCTTGCCAGGGCAGGAGGGCCTTCCCCTTCTCCCACATTTGCTTCCTCCTCTTGGCCAGACCACAGGGTGGGTGAGAGCTTTTCAGGGTGGTGGGGGCGGGGAGACTGTTCTCACCAGGCATCAGAGAGGTTCTGCCCTTTCCTTCCTATTGAGGCAGAAAAGCAAAACCTGAAAAATCTAGGTGTGTAGGAAGCCGGGAGACAGCTGAGGAGGTCTGCTTCGTCTGAGGCCCCTTAGCGTTTACGCAGGCCCATGCTGCACTGCACCGTACGGAAACCCGTGTGAGTCTTGTTTATAGGGAGGCAGGGAGTGTAGCTCCTGGAAATCCCCGTGTGTCCGTGGCTGGGCTGGGTGCAGAGTGCATGCTCGCTCCCTGGAGGCCTGGCCTCCACCCAGCTTGCTGAGCGGGGCTTCTGGAAGCCCAGTCATGATGGCCATAGCCCTGCCGGCTGGTGTGGGGCTGCCCTGTGTCCCCACAGGCCAGGCCCGGAACCCAGCAGGAAAACTGTGCTCCGATCCCTCCTGAGGGCTGCAGCTGAGCCCAAGGTCTGGCCTGGAGGAAGGCTGTGAATAGCCAACACCTTCTTGCTGTGCTCCGCGTGTCTCTGGCTGTGCCTGTCTCCTTGGAGTTTGGCACACTCGTTCACAACTCTCCTGTGTGAAGCATGCTGCTCAGCCCAAGGCATGGCCCTTGCAGGGCAGGCTGTGTGCTGGACTGGCTCTGGCTGTGCTTGGCTTTTGCAGGCTTTGATGCTGCAGGGAGGTAGGGTGGAAGGTCCTGGGGTGGGGCCAGGCAGCATTGGAGCTCAGCTGTCATCTCCAGCATCCCAGGCTCAGGGAGCGTGTGACCATGGCCCGATTCTTGCCATTGGGACCAAGGAAAAGCTCTGTGTATCTGGGGACTTGGGGTCCCGGTGAGGTAGAGAGAGGTTGGTCTTCCCAGAATTAGATCCAAGGAGTGTTTGTGTCTCCTTTAACCATTTCCAGATGTTGGGTGTGGAGAATGTTTGGTGGGGCCTGGTGGGCTGAGCTGAGCACACTGTGTGCTGCCTTCAGGAACCAGCCCCCACCAGGACCCAACACTGACCGGATCTGAGACACATAGGAATTGTGCTGGTCAGTGTTTCCTCAGGACAACCCAGGGGAGTCCAGTCAGTTACGTAGCTTTGCTTTCTTGGCAGAGTGGCCTCCATCTAGAACTGGATCCTAAAGTTTCTCTCCTGAGGCTCCGGCCTTCAGGGCCTTGGTTGTTGGCACCCGGGCTCCTAGTGGGCTATGCTGTGCGTGCACAGTGCCATCAGGGACACTCAGGAGGGAAAGTGAGTTAGGCCGATCTCAGAGAGCTGGAGAGGCCTCAGGCCCCAATGGCATGGAGGGCCTCCCGGTGGCCTGGAGGGTCTGTCCATCCCCCTGCCTGGCGGTGCTGCAGGAGGGGTGTGGTCTGGGTTGCTGTGAGGGTGGTCTCACTGGCCCGACATTGCTGGGCCATGGTTATCAGGATTGTCACTGACATGCTTTTGTTTTTGTTTTTTGTTTTGTTTTTTTCTCTTCTGGGCTCTCACTCTTTTCTTTCTCCCCACTCTCCCCTTCCCTTCCTCCCCTCCCTCCGCCTTCTCTGGCTTCTGTTTTGTTGTCTCAGCTGGAGGTTCTGCACTACCGACTCAGTGTCTCCAGCGCCCTTCACAGCCCTGCCCAACCCAGCCTCCAGGCCCTCCACGCCTACCAAGTACTGGCTTCTCTTGATCTGTTCCGTTTCACCCCAGCCCTGTGGTGTAAGCCACAGAGCTCCTGTCAGTGCAGTGGTAACGCGAGGGCATGGCTGGGGCCTCTGGGGGTGATACAGAGACCGTCCCACACACAGCCAGGCCCTGGGGGTTGAGGGTGGCCTGGCCCTTCAGCCTGGCCCAGCCTCCAGGTTTGTAGTCTAGCCAGGGTTTGGGATGTGCAGTCATGTGGCAGGAAGTGAGGCACATGATCCCTGCTGGCTATGGGGTCATCAGATCTTCCTTGTCAGGCCTCCAGCCAGTGGAGGTATCACAAGCTGTTCTGTGTTGTGGGGGCTCTGTGTTTGGCCCTGGTTTGAGGAAGCAAAATATTTCTGCTTTGGTGGTATATCCTGTACTTGACTTGACTGAGTACACGAGGCCCAGGGGCTTGTGGGTGGTGCAGTTCTGCTGAGCGGAGCCTGTGTGAGGCAGAGGCAGGAGAACTTGGGGCTTGGTTCTCCAGCCTGGAAATGCTGTCCATTCTTGGGAGACCAGGCCCGGCTTCTGCAAGCCCAGGCTCTTGTGACCCCATGGAGACTGGTCTGCTTATGCAGAAATGAAGAGTGTGACAGAGTTGAGGTCACCAAGAGGAGTTCACCCTGTAAGGTGTTTTGGGACTGACAGCCTCATAGTTTATTGTTTATGAGATGAGGACGGAAGTCGGGGTGTATCTGGAGCCATGCTCAGAGCCTGTCCCTTTCACTATCCGTGGGAGCACACATTGAATTTGAGTACAAGGTGAAAAGTTTTGTTTTGCTGGGATAGATTGTCAGTGCACAGCACATATTGGGGTTTCTACTCAGAAGCAGCAGCTGCAGTGAGGAGGGGAAGAGCATGTTCCAGAAGGATCAGTATGGACCAGCTGGACACAGAAGTTGGTGCCACTCCAGCCTCTATAGGAGGGTCCCCGGAGAAACATCTGGCTGCGTTCACTCCGCAGCAGGAGGGCCAAGAGCCCTGGAATGGGCTTTGGAAAAGCGTCCTTAAAAGGAAGCCACTTGCAGCTGCAACCAGAGATTCCTGAGGGGCTCTGGCTCAGGAGGCTGTGGAGTTGGGAGCATAGCCAGTGGGTTACAGTGATTCCCGGGGGGCCTGTGCAGGGAGCCCCGTTCTCCAGACAGACCAGGGAGGATGGGTTGAGATGGGATTCGGGATCCCGGTTCCCCTGTCCATGGCCAAGAGGGGTCAGGAATGAGAAGGGGGAGGGCTCTGAGCAGGAGGTTCTCAGGTCTGATATTGATGCCCTTCTAATCTTTTATTAAAATAGCCCATGCTTTTTGCTTCAGAACAAAGCAGATTCATTGCATAAAGACTTTAAAATGCAGATGAGCAGAAGGACGTTACCTTAGTATCACAGTGTCATCTCTAGATGTGTGTGTGGGGCGGGGGGTGTCACCTGAGCCTGTGGGGGCATTTCCATGATGGAGAGGGGCACAGATGGTGTTGTGGGCAGGGCCCAATAGGCTGGCTTCCTCGGCCTCTGAGGTCTGTGTCTGGGCTGTGCCAGGAGTCGTGGCTCGCCCCAGCCTCAGCACTGCTCTGGGTTGGGATGAGGCTGCCAAGAGCTCTTCTGAGTCTGCTAAAGAGTGCCCTAAAGAGCTCGGGTGAGTGTGAGGAGAGGAGGGTGTCGGTCTGGACAGCCAGAATGTGGGGCGTGGGGCAGTGGGTCCTGCCTTCCGATGTAGCCTCCGCCACATGGGGCTTCACCTGCAGTCCATCCCTGAACAGCTGGCAAACAGGCTTTGCTCCGGGTCTGGTTCTCAAAGATCCTCCAGGGCTCTGAATCAAAAGTTCGGCTCACAAGGTTGACAGTGTTCTTGTCTTTGGGGTTGTGCTGACCAGTAGGTCCATCAGCAGCAGAGGGAGGACTGTGTCCAGAGGGGGAGCAGGTAGAGGGTGGGTTGTGGCAGGAAGAGGGGCTGGAGAGTGGTTCGCCTGCGAAGGGTAAGCTGTGGACCACAGCAACCTGTCTGCACACACCTGGCGGCAGGGGAGTACCGAGGCCAGACCCCAGGTGGGATGCCAGCCTGCCCGTCCCCTGCTCCTCCTCATCTTCTGGCTGGCCAGGAGGTGAGGCCCCCTGACAGCCTAGGTGGGCAGCTATGACAGGTCACCCCCGGAGGGTTTGAAGCATGTAGAGAAGCATTGGCCAGCTTGGTTCTGTAGCAGCCGCCCCAAGGCACACTGTGCAGGCTTCCCCGCCCTCAGCTTGTCTCAGACCCTGCAGTGCCAGGGTCCTCAGCGGGTGCAGGTATGGGTGGGGCCCCAGGTGGTCCCGCTTTCAGCCTGGCCCATGCATCCTATGGGGAGAGCTGAGAGGGATGGTGGGATGTGGTCAGACCTGGGGGTTCAAGCTCAGAAAAATCTGGATCCTGACATACACTGCTCTCAACCTTAGGAGTCATTCACGCCCACCGAGGAGCACGTGCTGGTGGTGCGCCTGCTGATCAAACACCTGCACGCCTTTTCCAACAGCCTGAAGCCCGAGCAGGTCTCGCCCTCCGCCCACTCCCATGCCACCAGCCCCCTGGAGGAATTTAAACGGTGGGTATGGGGCTATAAGCAGGGCTGCTGTGCTTCAGCCTGCCTCCTCCGCATACGTGCTGCCCGCTGACTTCCCCGGGGCGTGTGGGACTCACCTGTCCCCTCCTGGCTCTGTCTCCTCATCCCCACCCTGGCCCCAAAGGTGGGTGGGGTCGAGCTGCTTTTCTGGCTGCTATGGCCTGTCCCTGGAGGTCTGCCCTCTTCAGTAGAAAGATCCAGGCTGCAATTGGTTAGAGCTGTGGTCAGTAAACTCATTAGTCAACAGAGCTAAGTATCAACAGTTCAACGATTGAAATTTCTTTTGAGAGCCACATTTTTTAAACTTAACTTCTTCTAACGCCACTTATTCAAAATAGACTCGCCCAGGCCGTGGTATTTTGTGGAAGAGCCACGCGCAAGGGGCCAAAGAGCCACATGTGGCTCTCGAGCCGCAGTTTGCTGACCACTGGGTTAGAGCATCATGCTGATACGCTGAGAGCCAGGCTGGCCAGGGAACGGCCTTGTCTCATGCTCTTCTCCTTTCTTCCAAGTGACCGGGCTGGGAGGGCCTTCTCATCGGAGTGGCTCATTGTCACAGGAGACTGGGCTCCATGCTGCCCCCTCCCCCTCCTCAGGCTGGGAAAGGGCTGGGGTGGTGAGCCAAGCTGACAAGTGTCCAGGAGCCACAAGGGATTGGCCACATGTGTGCTGTGGGTCCTTGGAATGTTCCCTTACATCTCCGAGCCATGGCTTCTTCCTCTGAAGAATGTTCTCTTCCTAAAAACAGGAAGTCTCAGCTCCAGAGGGAACCCATTGCCCTCCTGGCAGAGCTGGTCCTTAGAGCAGGAGCCACTGGGCTCCCTGCGAGGTGACCCGATTCCTCTCCGTAGGGCTGCAGTCCCGAGGTTCGTCCAGCAGAAGCTCTACCTCTTCCTGCAGCACTGCTTCGGCCACTGGCCCCTGGACGCGTCCTTCAGAGCTGTGAGTGTCGGCCCGTTAGCCTCACTGAGCTGCACTGGCCCACTTCTGAAGGGACACTGAGAGGACGGTCCTCGGGACGCACCGAGTCCCTCCTGTGTCCTCTCAAGGAGAAGACACACCTAGTGGCATCCCTGCCCACCCCACAGGGCAAAGCCTGCAGCTGGGACCATGCCCCTGCTCCCTGAGCTGCCTCCTGGGCCACAGCCCACTGTGCCACGTGTCTCACCAGGTCCTGGAGATGTGGCTAAGCTACCTGCAGCCCTGGAGGTACGCGCCTGAGAAGCAACCTCAGAGCAGTGATGGCCAGGCCCGCTGCGTGTCCGAGAGATGGTGAGCCTGCGCCTGCCCTCCCCTGGGCCTCTTCTCTGAGGGGAGCATAGGCCGCCCGCGCCCCTCCTGACGCTGCTCTCTTGTCTGGGTCTGGGATTGGTTTCCTGAGGAAATAGCAGGTCACCCTCTTCCCCTGTCCCCTTGCCATTATCATCTCACTCGGATCTATGTTCACGCTCACCCCCAAACCTCCCAGCTGGCCCCCAAGCTTCTGTCGGCACCTCTGATTGCTTCCTCCTGTGCACGCCTCTGGCGCCCTGGCCTTGGTCACCTCAGAAAGGGCCTCGTTCTGGGGATAGTCCACTGTCCTCGGGGGGCCCAGGCCTTGCCAGTCTGTGCTGCCTCCTCCCGGACACCCCCAGACCCTCTCAGCTGCCGTTTGACCCCTCTGAGAGGGAGGTGGCCCCTGAGTAGCCACGCGGTCCGCAGGGCGCCCTTCGTGCAGGAGAACCTGCTGCTGTACACCAGGCTCTTCGTGGGCTTCCTGAGCCGCGCGCTGCGCACCGACCTGGTCAGCCCCAAGAACGCGCTGATGGTGTTCCGCGTGGCCAAAGTCTTTGCCCAGCCCAGCCTGGCCGAGATGATCCAGAAAGGTAAGCCCTCAGCTGGGGACCCACAGACCCTGTATGTGCCTCACAGGCTCGGGGGGCAGGGGGGGCTGGCAAAGGTAGTGTACGGGATCCTGGTGCCCAGAGCAAGATGAAGGTCAGCCTGGCGGAACCCCATCTACCTGGTAGCTCAGTGCACCTGGCAGAAGGGGCAGCAGGTCTCTGAGCTATCTCCCTGGGGACTTGTGGCAGTCGGGTCCCTGTCCTGCTTTCGTCTGAGCCAGCTTTGTTGGGCGTTAGCTTCTTATGCTGCCTCTTAGCGAGTGTGGGCTTCCTGTGGAGACCGGCAGGGGCTCTGAGCATCACCGGGCTCCCTCGCTGTGTGTTCACTGCCGTTCGGATCCTCAGGAGGCGCTCAGGGGCCTGCAGCAGCACCTGGGCATTTGTGTCCTTGAGGCCAAGGCCAGGCTCTTGTCCGGCTTTCCAGGCGAGCAGCTGTTCCTGGAGCCGGAACTCGTCATCCCTCACCGCCAGCACCGGCTCTTCACGGCTCCCACCGTCACCGGCAGCATCCTGTCATCATGGCCGCCGGCCGTCACCGACACCTCCTTCAAGGTGAAGAGCCATGTCTACAGCCTGGAAGGCCAGGATTGCAAATACACCCCGATGTTTGGGCCGGAGGTCCGGACGCTGGTGAGTGAGTCTGGGCTCAGCCAGGCCCGGCCGTCCCGAACCCCTGGGACAGAGAGCCGAGACGGGCACACACCTCTGGGGGGGAAGGAGGAAGACGGGGGGTTGAATAGACACCAGTACTCCTTCCTCCCCTTTTAGGTTCAGTGAAGGCTAATTTTTTCTAATAATAGAGGCAGCGTTTGTTGGGATTTTCCCAAATTTAGAATATGCGCTTAAAATCTTTGTCACGTGGAAGCCACCCTCCTGGCCCTTGCGGGCTTCCCCGGGACCCCCTGTTGGGGACTGGGTGCCGTGAGGTGGCCCCACCGGAGCTCACTGACCTCCCGTCTGCCCGCAGGTCCTGCGCCTGGCTCAGCTCATCACACAGGCCAAGCAGACAGCCAAGTCCATCTCTGACCAGTGCGGGGAGAGCACAGCCAGCCGCCCTTTCCTGTCATGGCTGGGCTTCTACCTTTCGGACACAAACAGCTCCTACCCAGCCAACGACCTGGACGACATGGGGCAGGACAGCATCCGCAAGACGGACGAGTACCTGGAGAAGGCCCTGGAGTACCTGTGCCAGATGTTCCGAGTATGAGCCCTGAGGCTGTCCCCTCCCCAGATCTGGTCCCGTGCCCTCACCCCACTGCGGAGCCCGGACCAGCCACAGACCAGGACCCGGCCTGGGTTGTGCCACCGGGGCGGGGCTCCGCAGGAGATGCAGGCCGGGGCCTGCAATGTCGTGTCTGGGTCGCATCGTTGTCGCGGTTAGAGGCCGAGGGATTGAAGGCCAATTTGCTCCCTTCACCGGAAACTGAAGCAGTAGTTTCTCCCTGACAGCTCAGTGAGGCCCAGCTCGCCCAGCTCACACTCGCCTTGGGGACAGCTCAGGGGGAGAATGGGAAGAAGCAGCTCCCGGACTGCATCGTGGGGGAGGACGGACTCATCCTCACACCCCTGGGCCGGTACCAGGTAAGGCCCATGGCCCAGAGGGGCCTGGCTCTCCAGGGTTTTCCAGGCAGCACGCCGGTGGTCCCACCAGCCTGTCCCCGTCCCCATAATCAGAGACAACTCGCTGAGTTGTTTGCAAAGGTGTGTTTTCTGGACTGCTCCTGTGGCCCCCCTTTCCCTGGGGCTCACCTCCTGCTGCTTCTAGATCATCAACGGGCTACGGAAGTTTGACATCGAGTACCAGGGGGACTCGGAGCTACAGCCCATCCGGAGCTATGAGATTGCTAGCCTGGTCCGCTTGCTCTTCCGGCTGTCCTCCACCATCAACCAGAGGGTGAGTGGGTGGGAAGCCACATCCTCAGCTCAGTGTCCCTTCCATCCTGGAGCTTCCGGGAGGGGCTGGTGGGAAGTGTGGCCCTGCCTGTTGTCAACTCCTCCGCCTCTGTCTGTGCTCTTAGTTTGCAGACCAGATGCGAGCCCTGTGCTCCCGGGCTGACTTCCTCGGCAGGTTCTGCAGATACCACCTCATGGAGCCTGGGCTGACTGACAAACACCTGCTGAGCCCCGTGGGGCAGGGCCGTGTGGCCAGCCGTGCCCGAGGGCCCAGGCTCAGCCTTCGTTTCCTGGGCAGCTACCGGACGCTGCTGACGCTGCTGCTGGCCTTCTTCGTGGCCTCTCTGTTCCACGTCGGGCCCCTGCCCTGCGCCCTGCTCCTTGTGCTGGGCTACTTCCTCTACGCCGCGGCCATGACACTGCTGACGGAGCAGGGCAAGCTGCACCAGCCCTGACCACCGCCGCCTCCCCACACCGCCCTCCTGTGCCTGGGAGGCCCCCTCCGGACCTGAGCCCGGTCACCTTCAGCTTCAGGGAGCATTTCCTGTGCCTCTGAACCGTGTGGAAGAGAACCTGGTCAGACTTGGCCGGGGAGCTGCGTGGGCTCAGGACAATCCAGGGCCGGCCTGGCCTTCCTCAGCCGGAGGCTCCGCAAGAAGATGGCTCTTGGCTTCTCTCTTGTACAGCTGTTCCGGGGTTCAGCCTGTGTGAATGAAGCCAGGGAGTCAGAGCTTCCCGGGGGGGGCTGCGGCCACGCTGCCTGAGGTGGCAGCGTGGTCTCCTCCCCTGGTGACACCAGGACAGCAGCTCGGCCTCTGGCTCCAGAGAAGAATCAAAGACCCGAAAAGAGGCGCCTGAGAAAATTAAAGGACGATTCTCGAAGCCTCATTTTAAAACTGCATTTGCCACCACACTTGACAAAACAAGGGTTACTCCTCATGTTCTCCCAATGACTGGCAGTCTGGGCCATACAGTCCTGCCCTGCTTCCTTCAGCCCCAAATCAGCAAGCACCTCACTCAGTGGTGGCCGTGTCACCACCTTGTCCTTCAGCCCGGCTCTCGTCCCCACAGGCATCGGGGATTTGGCAGGACCACCGGCCCCTCCGCCAGCTTCTGGTCTGCAACCAAAGATGATCAAGCGTTGTCTGTACCTGCAATAAATCAAGTGTGCAAAGACATAACCTTTTGGTACCACTTAAATACTAAAGTTACACAACAATTACGTGTTCACTGTCAGAATGCCTCACGGGGTCTCAAACACCTTTCATTACACAGATGACACCAGAGAACAGCTCTGAAAAGGGATTTAAACCAGCCATCTTGTGGTGGGTGGAGAGTGTTCAGACTAAACGTTGAGCTTTGTGTTTTTATGTGAATCCGTACAGTGGTATTTGGTAGCCTGTGACCAAAAATCCAACAGGCTTGTAGCCCTTTTTTTTTATTTTATTGATTTTTTAGAGAGGAAGGGAGAGAGAGAGAGAACTAGAAACGTCGATAAGAAAGAAAATTTTTTAGAGAGGAAGGGAGAGAGAGAGAGAACTAGAAACGTCGATGAGAAAGAAATATCGACCAGCTGCCTCTTGCACACCCCCTACCGGGGATGTGCCTGCAACCAAGGTACATGCCCTTGACCGGAATCGAACCCGGGACCTTTCAGTCTGCAGACCAACGCTCTACCACTGAGCCAAACCGGCTTCGGCTTGTAGCCCATCTTAACCCCAAGTCTTCCGGTGCCTGGGCTCAGCCTGCTAGGTGTCCTGTCGCTGGACAGAAAGCTGCTGTGAAGTTCTGGGTAAGAATGTCAACCTTAGAGAACTGGAGAGAAAAATACAGAGCCCAGAAACCCTGTGCAAATCTCCCCGCTGCCCAAAGGCCTGGAATCTCGGGAAGCAAACCCTGGGCTTATTAGCAAGTTTCGAGCCTGAGAGACCAAAGGAGCCATTCCACGTCCTTCCTGCCTGCCCCTCCTTCCTACTGAACTCTGCTCCCTGCCCTCCCAGGCACATACAGGGAGGAACTGGATTATCTGGCATCTGGGCAGGGACTCACGGGTGGCTCTCACTCAGATGGGGGTGCTCACAGGGATCACTGTTCCTGTGCTGGGACCTCCGTGTCCCAGGGCTGACCGGTAGCCACATCTGAGTCTCAACCAGCCTGGAGCACACTGTTTGCTCCGCCCTGGGGATTCCTGAATCCTGCCCCATCCAATGTGTAGCCCTACCCAAGCTGTTTGCAGCAGCTTTTCCATAAGAATGGCCTGTCCTGGCTCAGGTTTTAGACTTTGCTAAAATCTCTCAAAAAAGCTGCAGCTGGTGACAGTGTGCCCCAAACCCATCAATAAAAGGCCCAAGCCAAAACCAGTTTGGCTCAGTGGATAGAGTGTTGGCCTGCAAACTGAGGGGTTCCAGGTTCAATTCTGGTCAAGGGCATGTACCTTGGTTGCAGGCACATCCCCAGTAGGAGGTGTGCAGGAGGCAGCTGATCAACATTTCTAGCTCTTTATCCCTCTCTCTTCCTTTCTGTAAAAAATTAATAAAATCTATTTTAAAAAATAAAAGGCCCAAGATCAGCACTATCACCACCCTGCCTTGCTTCACAGCCGGGCCTCGCCTCCTGCATAGCAGCTTCCCACTGTCTTTGTAGCTGGTCCTCAAAGCCAATTGGCCTGGAGGTCAACTCCTAGAGACACCAACAGCAATCAAGGCTCAACTACAAGACTGTGCACACAGCCCACACAGAGGCACCACAGAGCGGCGGTTGCCAATCTTTCAGACCTCACAGGCCACCAGGTGTGACCACTAACCTAGAGTGCCCAGCTCTGATGATGAGAGGCTGAGTAATAAGCTAAGGGAGTTCATCACCACAAAAACAGTATTATATGAAATGTTGAAGGGGGAGGAGGTAAAAAACATGAACGATAAAATGGTAACACCCCTAGCCAGTTTGGCTCAGTGATAGAACATCAGACTGAAGGGTCCTGGGTTCAATTCCGGTCAAGGGCATGTGCCAGGGTTGCTGGCTCATCCCCAGTGGGAGGCATGCAGGAGACAGCTGATCAATGATTCTCATCATTGATGTTCCCTCTTCTCCTTTCCTCTCTGAAATCAATAAAAATAAAAATTTAAATAATATATAAATAAAATGGCAACAAATATCAATAATCGAAAAATCTAAAAAATCAAAATAAATGATCAAGAAATCTAATGAACAAAATAAACTGGTGAATAAAATAGAACCAGAGGCATGGAAGCATTGGAACAGACTGAGGAATCTCAAGAGGGAAGGGGGAGGAGGGTGTGGGAAGAGATTAACCAAAGATCTAACCTATGGACACAAACTATAGGGTGGTGAAGGCCTGGGGTGGGGACCGGGTGGAGGGGGGCAAAGGGGAGGAAGAAAGGGGACAACTGTAATACTCTCAACAATAAAGACGTAAAAGATCATAAATTAGCCTGCTATATTTAGTCAAACATTTAGGTAATTCACCCCTAATGTTTTGACGGGGCCAGGTCACATGACTTTAAGAGCCTCATATAGCCCATGGGCCAGATGTTCCCCACACCTGGTCTAAGCTATGAGAACTTTGCTTTCTGTTCTTCAATACGTCAGTCTTCTTTAAAAAAAAAAAAAAAAAAAAAAAAGACAAACACCAAAAACAAAACAAAACACAAAAACCTGTGATTCTGGAACAGGTGTACTTTCTGTGCCTTCTGGAAGCTGAGGATCACATGCAGCTGGGAACTGAACTGTGCACTTAGCCCACATGAGCATCTTGTCAGGCTGGCTTGAGCATTGACAGATTACTGTGGGGTTTTTTTCGTTTCTTTAAAAATATATTTTATTGATTTCTTACAGAGAGGAAGAGAGAGGGATAGAGAGCTAGAAACATCAATGAGAGAGAAACATTGACCAGCTGCCTCCTGCACACTGAGGATGTGCCTGCAACCAATGTACATGCCCTTGACCAGAATCGAACCTGGGACCCTTCAGTCCGCAGGCCAACGCTCTATCCACTGAGCCAAACCGGTTTTGGCAGATTACTAGTTTTTATTACCAGGTTTCGGCAGATTACTAGTTTTTATTTGATTAAGTCAAGAGAAGAGATCCGAACATCCCAGGACAGTGGTCGGCAAACTCATTAGTCAACAGGGCCAAATAGCAACAGTACAACGAGTGAAATTTCTTTTGAGGGCGGAAAACCGACCTCTGGGTGTGGGCCACAAAGTTTCAATCACAATGTATGTGCGCTCCCACACGTGGTATTTTGTGGAAGAGCCACACTCAAGGGACTAAAGAGCCGCATGTGGCTCGCAAGCCGCAGTTTGCCGATCAGATGATGGCCTGGAGCCAGGTGTCAATGGCACCATTTCCCCACCACACCCCCTCTTCTGCTCCCCGTGATGGAAGTCCATCCCTGCCCACAAGGATGGGGCATCCTCCCCTTGACCATCTCTATGCACAACCCTCCTGTCCACATTTCTCTCTCGCTCTGTTTCCTTCACCTGAAAACACTCTCCAGCATGCTCAAAAGCACAAATGAGCCCAGCTGGCGTGACTCAGTGGTTGAGTGTCAACCTATGAACCAAGAGGTCACGGTTCAATTCCCAGTCAGGGCAATTGCCTGGGTTGCAGGCTTGATCCCTAGTGGGGCTCACAGAGGCAACCAATCAATTATTCTCTCTCATCATTGATGTTTATTATCTCTCTCCCTTCCTCTCTGAAATCAATTTTATATATATATATATATAAATCAATATATATTTTATTGATTTTTCACAGGAAGGGAGAGGGATAGAGAGCTAGAAACATCGATGAGAATCATCGACCAGCAGCCTCCTGCACACCCCCCACCAGGAATGTGCCCGCAACCAATGTACATGCCTTGACCGGAATCAAACCTGCGACCTTTCAGTCCGCAGACCAACGCTCTATCCACTGAGCCAAACTGGTTTTGGCAATAAAAATATATTTTTTAAAGCAAAATGAAGTGCTCTGTTTTGCCCACACATCCATCAACTGTGAAATAGCCACCTACTATGTGCACCCTCAGCTGTACTGGGGATACAATAGGCAGGATCACCCATTGCTAAGGGCCTAGAAGCCATAAAGAACTAAGAATGGTAAAGTCAAGGAGGGCACCTTTCCATTCCCTCTCTTCCGCCCCCACCCCCACCCCCAGGCACTTCACCGTCGGCTTCCTCACTCCCCAGCTCCAAGGGCCCTTGCTTTACCTCTGTAACTTGTTGCCTAAACCCATTTCTTCAAGGAATTACTTTTTCTACTTCTGTAACTCACCCAATTTACTCTTACAGTTGGGTTCTTGGCTCTGAATTCTTTCCTAGCCAGAACCCAAATACCGAGGTTGTTGAACCAGGTCTGGTCTGACTCCACCGGTCAAACACCTGCTGCCGTTCCCGCGGCCTTCAACATGACTCCCCGACCCAGGACCCGGCTTCTTACTGTGACTCAGACTGTTCCGCCGCTGTGTTTCAGTTCCAGAGAAGCAACAAAACCATCCCAGGCTGACCTCAGGATCCCAGGCTGACCTCAGGATCCCAGGCTGACCTCAGCACCAGCTGCATTGAATAACGACCCACCCCACCCATGCCCTGACGCCAGCCAATCAAGTGCAGACCACAACCCTGAAAGGACACACCTGGAAAACTGCTGAGCAGCATTCTAGTAAGATCTTCTGCTGGGTTACTGTTTCGGGGGTCCTCCTTCCTGAGCCACACCGGATTGATTGCCTCCTGCTAGGGATCCAGTCCAGACCAGGAATCCAACCGTGACCTCCTGGTTCATAGGTAGATGCTCAACCACTAAGCTACACACTGGCCAGGACTGAGAATTCCTTTCTTTTCTTCTTTTTTTAAAATATATTTTATTGATTTGAGAGTTAGAAACATCAATGAGAGAGAGTCATCGATCAGCTGCCTCGTGCACACCCCCCACTGGGGATATGCCCGCAACCAAGATACATGCCCTTGACCAGAATCGAACCCAGGCCCTTCAGTCCCCTAGCCGACGCTCTATCCACTGAGCCAAACCGCTCCCGGCTCCTTTCTTTTGTTAATCCTCACCCCAGGATAAGAATGGAAGGGGAGGGGGAGAGACGGGAGAGAGAAACATCTCCCGTAGGCACCCCGACCGGAACCATGGCGGCTGGGGATGTAGCCTGCACCTGAGGCACGTTCGAACCCGGGGCCCTGCAGCCCGCAGGCCGAGGCTCTGCCCACTGCGTCGAGCCGGCCGCGGGCGGGTTCTTTTAAGCGGCGTTCCACGCCCCCGGCAGAATGAGAACCAGGCCCCGCCCACCGCACTCCTCGCCCCGCCCACCGACGCCCCGCCCCCTCGTAGGTCGCGCCCGTTTCCATGGCGACGCGGCACTAGGCCGGGGCTGCCCGGCCACCGAGGGGAGGAGCGGCGGCGGCGGCGGCGGCGACATGAGCTCCACAGGGGTGGCGGTCGGGCAGCCGCCCCCCAGCTCGGAGACCCCGGGCTCCCGGGGCGCCCAGCGCCAGCGCCACCGCTCGTCCGGGGTCCTCCACCTCCTGGGGCAGCAGGTGGCGCAGCTCGGGCTCAGCGAGGCGCAGAAGCGGGTGGTGGACCTGGAGAAGAGCCTGCAGTTCCTGCAGCAGCAGCACTCGGAGACGCTGGTCAAACTCCACGAGGAGATTGATCACCTGAAGCGGGAGAACAAGGGTGAGTCCAGGGGGCGGCCGGTCACCGCGCCCCTCTCCCCCCATCCTCATCCCCACCCCCGCGGTGGGACCGGAGAGACAGGGAGACCTGCCTCCCTGGTACCTGTCCTCAGCGCCAAAGCGGTACGTGGAGTCTGGAACACGAAAGGTTTAGGGAGGCCTCAGGGCAGCAAGCCCACCCCGGGTCCTACCAAGTAAGAGCTCAGGTTCCCTACCCCAGACCAGCCCCCCAGTCCTCCCCTCGGCTATGGGTCTTCCCGGAAGGCGGCCTCCTGGTCAACTGCCCACCTGGCGGGGCGGGTCTGGCTGCATCATTTCCCACAGTCACTGGGTCAGCCCTCCTTTCTTTAGGCAGGGCCAGGCCCACCCCATTTTATTTTATTTTATTTTATTTTTTTTATTTTTTTTTTATTTTATTTTATTTTTTTTTTTAATCAATCTTTATTGTTCATATTATTACAAAGGTTCCTCATTTCTTCCCCCCTCCACCAGGTTCCCACCCCCCCCTCCGTCCCCCCCCCCCCATTGTCCTCATCCATAGGTGCAGTTTATGTTCAGTCTCTTCTTCCCTCAATTTCCCCAATAGTAAATCCCTTTTCAGATAGTAAATCAGTTATTTAGCATTTTCTCATATCAATAATACCTCCACATGCCCAATGATACACTTCACACAAAAGACATTTCCCTCTAGGTCAACCAGCCTCATCCAGGCCCCACCCAAGGCACTCACAGATCAACACCCCAGTCCTAAACTAACTCAACACATCCAGATCTAAGCCTTCATCACTTGATTCAGCAGACCCTCAAGTTCCCACGAAAGTTTCCAGCCATGTCTGAGAAGCAGCCGTGGGGCAGGGGCAGGCAAGGAGCGAGCTGTTCTGGGCCTGGCTACTCAGGGCCTGGCCTCTGTTGCTCTGGTTCATTCCACAATCAGCTGCTCCGGGTCTGGTCACTGCCGCTCCCAACCTAGTTGCTCTGGACTTGGTTGCTGCTGCTCCGGGCCTAGCCGCTCCCAGCCTGGCAGCTGCTGCTCCGGGCCTGGCCAAACCCGACCCGGCTGCTCCCCCGGGCCTGGCCGCTCCCAGCCTGGCAGCCGCTGCTCCGGGCCTGGCCGCACCCGACCCGCCTCTCCCCCGGGCCTGGCCGCTCCCAGCCTGGCAGCCGCTGCTCCGGGCCTGGCCGCACCAGCCCCGCCTGCTCCCCCGGGCCTGGCCGCTCCCAGCCTGGCAGCCGCTGCTCCGGGCCTGGCCGCACCAGCCCCGTCTGCTCCCCCGGGCCTGGCCGCTCCCAGCCTGGCAGCCGCTGCTCCGGGCCTGGCCGCACCAGCCCCGCCTGCTCCCCCGGGCCTGGCCGCTCCCAGCCTGGCAGCCGCTGCTCCGGGCCTGGCCGCACCCGACCCGGCTGCTCCCCCGGGCCTGGCCGCTCCCAGCCTGGCAGCCGCTGCTCCGGGCCTGGCCGCACCCGACCCGCCTCTCCCCAGGGCCTGGCCGCTCCCAGCCTGGCAGCCGCTGCTCCGGGCCTGGCCGCACCAGCCCCGCCTGCTCCCCCGGGCCTGGCCGCTCCCAGCCTGGCAGCCGCTGCTCCGGGCCTGGCAGCACCCGACCCGGCTGCTCCCCCGGGCCTGGCCGCTCCCAGCCTGGCAGCCGCTGCTCCGGGCCTGGCCGCACCCGACCCGCCTGCTCCCCCGGGCCTGGCCGCTCCCAGCCTGGCAGCCGCTGCTCCGGGCCTGGCCGCACCCGACCCGCCTGCTCCCCCGGGCCTGGCCGCTCCCAGCCTGGCAGCCGCTGCTCCGGGCCTGGCCGCACCAGCCCCGCCTGCTCCCCCGGGCCTGGCCGCTCCCAGCCTGGCAGCCGCTGCTCCGGGCCTGGCCGCACCCGACCCGCCTGCTCCCCCGGGCCTGGCCGCTCCCAGCCTGGCAGCCGCTGCTCCGGGCCTGGCCGCACCAGCCCCGCCTGCTACCCGGGCCTGGCCGCTCCCAGCCTGGCAGCCGCTGCTCCGGGCCTGACCGCACCCGACCCGGCTGCTCCCCCGGGCCTGGCCGCTCCCAGCCTGGCAGCTGCTGCTCCGGGCCTGGCCGCACCTGACCCGGCTGCTCTGGGCCCGGCTGCCCCGGGCCCAGCTGCTCCGAGCCTGGCCACTCCCAACCTGGATGCTCTGGGCTTGGCTACTACTGTTCTGGGTCTGGCTGCTCCCACCCCGGCTGCTCTGGGCCCGGCTTCTCCGGGCCCGGCCACTCCGGGTCTGGGTGTTCCTGGACTGGCCACCCTGGGCTTGGCCGCCTCCGCCTCATGCCTGGCTGCCACTGCCCCAGGTCTGGCTACTCCAGTGCTGGCTGTTGATGCTCTGGTTCTGGCTGCTGTTGTTCTGGGGCCTGGCCGTTGCTGCTCCGGGTCTGGCTGCCACTGCCTTGTGCCTGGCCACTCTAGGCCTGGCCGTCGCTGTTCCAACATTCTGTCCTTTTTTTTTTCTTTTTAAAACGCATTTATGTTGCAATGTTGGCTGGTGAGTTGAGTTCTGACTTAGTCTTTGATTTTTCAAGATCTTCTTTATATTCTTTCTTAAGTAATTTTACTATTGTTTGCTCTCACTTGATTTCTTCACATTGAGAACTTCTTTGGTTTCTTCCTCCTTGTCCTGGGAGCTCAGCAGGTTGGCCTGTGGCACCCCTTTGTTCTCCGCGGGCTCCTGTGCTGCTTCAGCCTGTTGCCGGGACGGCGCCGCCCAGGAAGCAGCCCCCGGCCTTGGCTCCATTGCCCGAGCTCAGTGGTCAAAGGCTCAGGGGCACTCACGCCCCCAGGGGCCCCATGGCCCGCCTCCTTGCTGGTGCCCGGTTGGCTGGAGTCCGGCAGGGGCTTCCGCTCCCCTCCGCGTTCCCCCAGCCTAGAGCTTTTTTTTTCTCCTTCCCGCTAGGGAAGTCCAGCATCAGAGTCAACAGACTGTCCTCTGCGCGCAGTTTGCGCGAGTCCCACAGACTGTCCTCTGCGCGCAGTTTGCGCGAGTCCCGGGGGCCTGGCCTTTCGAGCTCTCCCCAGACTCCACCTCACAGCCCCGTCTCCCTCTGCCTGAGCCTGGGTCCCCAGGGATTAGCCCAGAACTGGGGTTTGGAGCAGTCCGGACTGAGGCTCAGCACCACCGGAGGCCTTGTTTCTTCCGGCTAGGGCAACCCAGCATCAGAGTCAACATTCAGTCCTCTGCACGCATTGCGCGCGACTCCCGTAGGCCCACCCCATTTTAAAAACTCTTTAGAGAAGTAAAACATACCCTCAAGAGTAGCTCAGTGAACTTGTACACACTAAGCACACCCAGCTCAAGGGCAGACATGTTGGCCCAGAAGGATCTCTGGGCTCTGACTCCATCCTGCCTCTCCCCAGACATCTGGGACCCTGTGCTCTTGTGTCTCCTCAGGGCAAGCCACTTCCTAATTTTACACCCCTCGAGGCTCCTCGGCCCCCTGGGCTAGGCCTGAAGCAGAACTTGAGGCCTCCACCATGGGACCCTGCCCCTTTCTCTGGCCTTCCTGAGTCTCACCCCCATTCCTCCCTGATATCAGCGGTGTCTTGGGCACTTGGTTGCAGCACTGACTACATCTGCTCATCCATGGCCAGGGCCTCCGAGAGAGCTGGGTCATCCTGACTCATCCCTCTACCCTGGGAACCAAGCCCCCCCCCCTCCCCAATCCCCCGGCAGAGGGGGCCTGTAGACGTCATGGATGAAGGGTGGGATTTGGGCTTTGGCTCAGGGAGCAGCCAGAGGCATTCCCACCTTAAGGTGCCCAAGGCAAAGGCTTGGTCCAGAGGCAGGGTCCCTGAGGCCCCTTGGGGACTCGGCGGAGAGAGGTGGGCAGGGCAAACCAAGCGTCTCTCAAATGGCTGCGGCTGTGGAAATGACGAGAACATGTGCTTGCTTCCAGATCTCCATTACAAGCTAATAATGAACCAGAAGTCACATAGGAGAGGTAAGGCTGAGGCCCACGGTGCCTGAGGGGAAGTCACCACTGCCAAGAGCAGCCCCTCTAGACTGCCCATGCCCACCCAGCTGCTGGGGCCCACGCACTGTCCCAGTGGTGAGGGGTCCTGGAGGATCTGGACAGACAGACACCTCTGCACCCAGCCATGGTCTGGGTGACAAGCACAGAAGGTGCCACTCTCAGGGAGCCCAAGGCCTGAGGTCTGAACAGTAGGGTCAGTGGGCAGAGCTGCCAGTGGGGGTGCCAGGGTCGCCCCTGCCTTCCCCAGCCTCACTGCCTCGGTGAGCTCTTTCACTTGGCTGCTGCTCCGGCCTACTCCTGTGTCCCTCTGAAATGCCGGGGAGCCGAGCCCAGTCCTGTGGCTTTGGGCTTGTTCTCCCCCCTAACATTTGGGGCCAGGCCTGACACTGAGTGGTGAGTGGTGCCAGCCTTGAGTGCTCCAGTCTGGGGGTGCCTGCCAAGGCTTTCTTCCTGGGACACACAGAGAATGGGATGTGGGGGCACGACTCTAGTGGGGCAGAGCAGCGCCAGTGAGCTGTCCCAGACACACAGTGACGCCCATTTAGGGGCCCCAGGCCTGCAGAGTGTGTGTTTGGGCGGGGGAGGGGGGGCGGTACCTGAAGGGACAGCAGGGGAGGTTGTATGCCTTCAGAACCTGCCTACTTCTAAAGCCCTAAGCCCCCTTCTTTGTGGCCTTGGCTCCCTCAGGCACCGGCTAGATCTGGGGCTGCCTCTCCAGAGCATCGGGGAGGGCTCTGCATGATGCCTGGGCCCGGGGCCTGCAAGGCCGGGAGGCGGGCGCAGGAGGGCCGGCCTCTTGCTGTGCAGAAGCTGCTGGGGAGAGTGGAACATAAGCGTCATTGCTGCCATCGTGTTTGTCCACAGGCAGCAACACCAACTCCAGCTTTCAGCCCACCAAGCCCACTGCAACCTCAGCGGCGGCAGGTGAGCCTGCCAGCACCTCCGTGTGCCTGGGGGAGGGCAAGTGCCCACTGTGAGGCAGCCCTGGGGGTGGGGAGATGCTGCCTTTGCCAGGCCCCACGGACTGGAGGGTTAAGGGGCAGCTAAAGGGAGCCAAGGAGGGTGTGGTGAGCTGAAGCCATCAGGTGAGCTGAGGTGGGTGGGACAGGCTGTGGGTCAGCCAAGGGGAGGGAGGCTGCAGAAACAGATGTCAGCGAGGCGCACAGGTCCCACAGCAGCCCCCCGGAGCGGGTGTGGGCAGACTCACTGACCCAGGGACGGGGGGAGCTGGCTGCCGCCCGCTTGTAGCGTCCCGCCGAGCAGGCAGGATGCAGGTCCGATGGCCCCGGTGTCCTTTGCAGCACGGAGAGCCCCTTCTCCCCACGCCACCTCCCAAGAGGCCAGGCCTGCTTGTCGGGAGCGGCCTGGCTCTCAGTAGGAACCAGGCAGGCCGTGGGTCTTGTTCTGGAAAGTAAATCTGTGCGGCTGGACCGGGCCTTCTCATCCAGTTTCGTTTTGTCCCGAATGGGGTTCTGCTTTAGTCAGGGGGCAGCGGCAGGGCCACCCCAGCCCCGGCAGTTTTGGAAGCCCCGGCAGGGAGGAGACTGGCCCTGTCCCAGGTGTCAGAGCACTCAGGAGGCTCCGCCCATAGGCTTCATCCTCAGATCCTCCTTCCTGTTTTTCAGCAGGAGGCTCTGCTACCATCTACCCTTTACCAGGAGGAAACTGAGGCAGGGGGCGGGGGCTCCTTGGGCACACACACAGCCGATCCTGGAGGCCTTGGGCACAAATGCTCGATGCCCGCAGTAATTGTCTGGGTCTGACCTGTAGCGGCCTCTCAAAACAAGGCCAGGCTTCCGCTCAACTCCAAGAAGCAAGACTCGAAACCTGACGGTCCCCAGAAGACGGACCTGGAAGAGAAGACTCCAGCTGCTCCCCTGCTTCACGGCAGCAAGCTGGACAAAGCCCCCGGGGCACCGAGGCCCTCCAAGTAAGGCGCTCAGGAGGCCCACACCCTGGAACCAGCCCATTGCTTTGCCTTCCCAATGGGCTGGCCTCCAGCATGAACTAAGCTGGGGGTCCTATAGGGCCCCTGTGCTGACCTGAGCCCACAAGAGGGGCCAGCAGCAGCCCTAACCATTTTCTCAAAAGAATTTGGCCTCCAAACAAGCTTGCCTTTCACCAGGCAGAGAGACAGGTTGGAGAAACTCACGTGGCCATAGGAAGGCACAGTCAGCAGGACACCCAGGTTTTGGAACTTCCCTAGGAAGCAGCAGGGAGTCTGTACTTGGCACCAGAAAAGGGACCCCATTGTCCCCTAGGAGTACAGCCGGCAGGACAGGCTCCTGCTTCTCTCTGCACAGTCCTTAGATTCCCTTCTGACCAGTCCTACCAAGTTTGGGGCCAGGACAGCTTGAACCACGCATGCATACGCACCTTGTGAGGGGAGGAAGAGATGGCCCAGATCCCTGGCCCCAGAGACCCCCCACCACACTGCACCCTGGTCAGCAGAAGGCAGCCAGGCCCCTGCCCCAAGAGCTGGTGGGGCAGGCCACCTCTGGGCTGCTGCACTGACCGTTTCAGGGAAGAAGTGGAGACTTTGAATCCAGAGGCCATCTCGGGGTCGGGCAGCCAGCACAAGAGCAAGCAGGTGCCGGGGGTGCCCCGCCTGATGAACCTGCCCCCCCACTTGCGCAAACCCAGTTCACTCCAGCAGTGTGAGGTGATCATCCGCCAGCTGTGGAACGCCAACCTCCTGCAGGCCCAAGAGGTGAGGCTCGGGGGTGGGGCGCAGACCTGGAGGCTCTGCAGCCTTGGCCGCCACGCCTCCTCCCTGTCTTCCAGCTGCAGCACCTCAAGTCTCTCCTGGAAAGGACCCAGAGGCCATCCCAGGCTGGCCCTGAGGCTGACCCGAGTTCTAAGTGAGTGCCCGGTGTGGCTCTTGCCCCCACACAGCAGGGGCTTGGTTGTGCAGGGCTCACTGCTCCCTCCCCCTTCCCCAGTGACCAGGAGGCTACGCAGCTCCCCAAGGTCGCCAGCAAGGGTGTCTCTAGGAAATGGTGAGTCCGGGGGCGCAGAACGGGTGGGGCACCTGCGAGGAGGAAGGGGTGGGGCACAGCAGAAAGGAAGCCCTGGCTCCGCTGCCCGCCCTGCCCTCTGCCCCTGCCAGCCTGATCCTGAGCCCCATTCCGGTGTCGGAGCGCGCCATTCTGCCCACCCTGAAGCAGACCCTGAAGAATAACTTCTCCGAGCGGCAGAAGAGGCTGCAGGTGGTGCAGAACCGGCGGCTGCACCGCTCGGTGCTCTGAGCGCCGCCCGAGCAGTGTGCACGGTGGTCCCGGCCAGGCCCAGGTCACAGCTGGGGACACTCACTCTCTCTAGGCAGCATTCCCAAAAAACTCCACATGAACCAAACTCACGGCACATAAAGTCCTTGGTCTGAGAACTGAAAATGTTTATTTTCTTGCTCAGCATTTTGCTATCCTGCATTTACACAAGAAAGTGTTAAAGTATTACTTCACCTGTTGAAGAATAAAGCTTGTTTCTCCCAGGCCTGAGTCTAGTCCCTCGCTGGCTGCCAGGCGCTGCGCCCCGGGAGGCCCCAGCTCTGCGCCCTGAAATGGGGGTGGGGAGAGGGCGCTGCGGCCAGCGCCCTGGAAACAAGCTTATGTGCACCCCCTTACAGGACTCAGGGCCCTTCCTGCCTGGGCTGCCTTCTGGGCACAGCACTCACAGTCTTCTCTTGACCAGACATCCTCAGGGCAAGACAATGTCCACCTACCTCAGCGACATCTGTGTCCACACTGACACCAGCCACGAGCCACACTGCTGAGCCCAGCGGCCCCCTCTGGAGGCCACGGTCAAGGCCCCAGGAGAGTGTCCTCTGCAGGGTGCTGGGCCCTAACCCGTGATGTCCCCACCCTGTGAGGGCCTCGCATCAACCCCTCAGTCGCCAGAACAGCAGCTTCCTCTTATGTCTCCTGGGTTCCTCAGGCTAACCTCTGCCTCTTCCAGCTTCCAGACACCTGGAGGTGAACCAGGATGAGGCATCGACAGTCAGATGAGGGCCATCTCCAAGGTGGGGGACCTGGCTCAGCCCTGACAACACCCCCCACTGAACAGCAGGCTCTGGACTCACAGGGGTGGGGCACAGCGACACATTCATGACGAACACAGGAATAATAAATTTATTATAAGAACCACAGAAGATAGAGTAGTGCATATACAAAAGAGGGAACCTCTGACATCAGAGGCTGGCTGATGCTCCCTCTCTGGAGTGGCTCTGAGGATACCAGGTCCAGAGGATGGCACCCTGGCCCCAAAGTGAGCCCAGCTAGTGCACATGGTGCCAGGGACACGGTTCCCCCAGAATCCTCTGCTCTCCAGGGCCCCCCAGAGCTGAGCAGGCCCAGGGCTTGAAGGGAGCATGCCGTGAGGTGTGAGGTCCAGCTGGTAGTGGCGACTTGCAACCAGCCACAGGCCAGACTTCCTCCTGAGACACACTGGTGCCCCTGGGTGGGGGGGCCTCCCAGCGGCAGGCCCCGTATGAACCCAACACTGTGAGCAGAGGATTCGGTGTGTGTTAAGGATTTCCTACAGAAACGGGTAGAGTGTTTTTCTGGCACACACACAAGGGGCTGTAAAGGCCCTGACTTCTCCCTGGGAGTCGGAGGACAGGGCCCTGCAGGTGCCGAAGGGACAGCAGCCCGAGGAGCGCAGGCCCGGGGCAGCTGCCGCTCCTGCCTCAGAGGACTCCGGAGCCCGCCCAGTCCGGTTCAAGTGTGGGGAACCGCTCGGTGGGTCCCCAAGGCAGAAGATAAAAGCAGGAAAGCTAACCTAAGCCCAGGCTCTCTAGGGGAGCCGACACCTAGAAAGGTCCGACACAGGGTGTGTGTCCTCTGTGGCCCCAACGAGGCTGCCAGCTGACCCGTGGTCCCTGGTGGGCTGGCGGCCCGAGACGCAGCAGCGGCGGCTGCTAGGCGGCCGAGAGGCAGGCCTGGTGGATGCTCTCCGCCCAGGTGTTGAGCAGGGCTGTCACCGAGTGCTTGTCGGGGAGCTGCAGCAGCCTGGAGGTCATGCATCGGTGCACCGACTGCAGGAAGGGGTTGGCGTCTGCAACAGAGCAGGGGGTCTGAGCGCTGTGCCTCCTCCAGGACAAGCGCAACTCCTGGATGGGACCCGCCCTGAAGGCACAGGGCTGGCGTCTGGGGCACCGCTCCGCCACAGCCACCTGGGATGCCATGGCCCACGCACCGCTGGCTGCCAGGCTCTCCCAGGCCCTGTCACTGGAGAACTGCAACCTGAGTGGACCTGGAGCCCGGGCTTTCCCTCAGGGACAGCCTCAGGGCCCTGGGCCTGGTCCCATGTGTGCCAGGCCTGAGCCCTCACGGGGCCTCTGTCTGAGAGCCCGTCACCCAGATGGGTCCCCTGAGCCCAAGCTCCTGTCTGTCCCCCAGGCCAGCCCTGCAGAGGCCCACAAGGGCCGCTCGCTCCTCACTATTGGACACGATGCCCTGAAGCTGCAGGACAAAGGGACGCAATGGGGGCAGAGACCCTTCTTTCTCCAGTGGCTGCTGCGCAACCTGCTCTTCACAAAGGGGAGCCGAGGAGGAGAGGGCGGGACTCCGCTTGGGCGGCTCATGAGGAAACCCTGGTTGCTCAGAGCTGACCCTGCCTGCCCTGAGTCCCAGGCAGAGACCCCTCACAGCCGTCCTCTCGGCTCACCCACCGTACTGCCACTGCCGGTCGATCCACAGCGGGCTCTGGGCGGGGTAGTCGGCTGGCACACTGAGCTCCAGCGGCGGCACGCTCGGGAGGTCCTTGTCATCTGCAACACAAGAGGCCATGCCTATTCCCGCGCGCCCTGCGCCCAGCCCTGCTTCTGGGGACTGCAAAGCTGGAGGACCCTGGCTCCAGGGCCTCGGGCAGCAGAGCTGGCCCTGGACAGGGGGCTGGACTTCCCCGGCACACGGTCCAGCCCTCGGAAGATGTCCTGGGCCAGGCGTGTAAGGACCAAGGAAGACCTGTGGGCTGGGCTGTGCTGGGAGCCTGGGTGTCTGCAGGAGGCTGAGCACAGCGCACAGTCTGGTTGGGCCAGTCCTGAGGCGAAGCCTGGAAGCAGAGGTCGTAGCACCCCCGTGGCCCGGAGAAACGGTGGAGCCTGCCCTCCCCGGTGCTCACCCAGCTTGCATATCAGGTGGACGGTGCCGTTGTTACTGCAGTGAGAGGGGTCCAGGTTCACCAGGAACTTGGGGTCTAATCTGGCCACCTCCCCCTGGAGCACGTTGGGGATGCTCTGCCGCTCGTCCTCTTCAAGCTTCCGCTTCCGGGTGCACACCACCGGGGCCCTGGGGGAGGCGAGCGTGGTGACCACACCGGGCGAGGCTGTGGCCTGAGGTCCCCCACCTGCGCCCACCTCAAGGCTAAGCCCCGGGCTGTACATACGTGATGGGCGGGCCATGGATGGCCGTCATGGCTGGCACGAATGTGCGGTACAGGGAATGGTTGAAGACGGGCGAGCGGATGTTGGCCAGGACGGCGTCCAGGAGCGGCTGGCACAAGTACTGCTGCTTGGTTGGTGGCACCGGGGGTGGCGGGGGCGTGGGCTGGAACAGGAAGGGCGGGGTCAGCAGCCTCCTCTTGGGAAGGCTCTCCCGAGTCCAGGGCCCTCATCCTTACTTACAGCCAGACTCCCGAGGCCCGCCCCTCCTCCCCCTGCAGACAGAGACGGCCAATCCTGGACACATTCCCCGAGTCCCCCCCCACCGGGGCCTGGCCTATTGCTTGGCAAGTGGAGGCAGCTTAAAGGAAAACCCCCAGCTTGGGGTTGGAGGAGGTACCCACAGGTCACAGCTGGAGGGCAATTTCTCCCACCTCAGCGCCACCCACAGCCGACCTCCCTGGAGGAAAACCCCAGCAGGTGCCCAGGCTGAGCTGTGAGCCCCCCCTGCCCACCCCGGACAGGGAGGGCCGCTCTCAGCCTGTGGTTCCGAGTCGCTGTCGGGAGCCCTGACATCCCCGCTGCCTTCAGAACCTCACCAGACACAGCCCCCACTCACCACCGCCATGTCATTCTTGAGTTTCTCCAGGGCAATCTCACACTTCTGCAGAGTTTTCAGGGGGCACCTGTGGGGAGGGGGTACGCGGTGACCCTCTGTGCTAGAGCGGGGGAACCGGCAGAGTCCCAGCCACACACATCTGACCTCCCCTGGACGTCAGACCGGGAGCTTGCTGCTGGAACCGTCCACAGGAACCCAGAGCGTAAGGCCTGGTGGTCCCACCCCAGGAGCTGCTCGGTCCTGATCAGCAGAACAAGGCCCAGGCAGGCCAGGGCCCAAATGAGGTCAAACCAAGAAGGCCTGTGGGCCTTCCCACTCTAACAGGCCAGCCCTGCAGTGTCCAGCTCTCTGTCCCGAGAAGCAAACCAGGAAGGAGTCACAGTCTGAACCCTGAAGGCCAGCCCGCACGCAGGCCTGTGGCGCTGTGGCGAGGACCTGGCACTCCACGCTCCCGGCGCTTCTTAAGGCTCCGTCTTATGAGGCCCAGGAGCTGGCGCTGGAGTGGGGCTGTGAGCTGGGCTGGCCCACAGCTGGCGAAGGGGGGGGCAGGGGCTTAGAGCCTCCAGACACAACGAAGTGGAGCCCCAGCCCCTTCTCTGAACTCTGCGCGGTCCTGGCCTGGCCAGGCAGCAGCCTGGGATCCCCCATGACCGCCCGGGGGCCTGAGGACACGCTCACCTCTTGGAGGGGTCAGTCAGGATGTCCAGGAGGCTCTTCATCTTACTCAGGTCCTTCTTCCTGTCTGGAGCAGGAGAGGGGACGCTAAGACACAGCCTGGGAGTCGGCCGCCCCCCCCCCCCCTCGCAGGCCGCCCTCACCTTCGTTCTTGTCGATCTTGTTGATCATTCGGCGGAGGGGCTCGATGTACTTGGACAGCTGCCTCAGCTTGTCCAGGTACTGCTGCTCCTCGGCCTGGCTGGAGCCCGCCGGGCTCATGACTGAGCTGGGGTTCACTGCGGGACAGAAGCCCGTGAGCCTGGCCAGTCCACAGGCCCCACTCTGCAAACCCTCAAGGGGGAGTGTTCGGGGCCCAAGGGCTCGGGTTTGCCCCCCCGCTTTCAAGCGAGGCCTCATGAGGGTGCGGGGCTGCCCTCAGCATCTCAGCTCCCAGGCCCAATGTGGGAGCCACGATTGGCCCTGCGTCTCGGGCTATGCCCGCCCCCAACCCGACTTACCAGGGGTGTTTAAAGGTCCCGGGGAGGGGACACTGAAGTTCTGCGGGGTGCGCGCTGTCACTGGACTCTGGGAGGGCTGTGGTGAGGGGCTGGGCAGGAAGCTGCTGGGGGACGGGGCAGGGCCGGAGCTGCAGCAAAGGGAAAGGGAGCGTGTCTGTGAGCTGCGGGCACCAGCAGGGCCTCCCCGGGAGCCAGGCAGGGAGGGGCACCCTGGCCAGGCCTACCTGACGTTGGAGTTGGGCTGAGAGCTGGGCTGGCCGGGCTGCGGGGACGGCTGTGGGGGAGGGGGCATCGACTGCGGGGTCTGCACCTGCTGGCCCGGCGACGGCGAGGACAGCATGGTGAGGCTGTTCTGGCTGACCTGGAAGTGGAGGGGGCTCAGCCTGCTCGCCTGCCACACTCACTCCCACTGTCCCCCCGTTCCCACCACTCAGACTGGAGACCCCACGTGGCTGCACGCGCAGCCCCTTCTGTCTCCCACAGCCTCACTGCACACCTGTGTCTTCCTCTGATGCCTGCTTCTCACACACCAACATGGCACGTGCCCCACCTCGCGGGCACACACCCACGGTGACCAAGCCCTGGCTGGGCGGCCCTTGCTCCATGGGGAGAGCCAGGAAGAACGGGCCTTTGCGCTGAGCCCAGCATCCCTGGGGCCTGCCTCCATGAGGGGGACTGTGGAGCGGGAGGCCAGGGAAGGCTTCTCCTCTGCAAACCCGCTCAGGCCAGCCCTCACCAGCATGGCTCACCTGGGCTCTGGGTCTGGACCTGCAGGTCCCACTGTCACGTGAGTGGCTCAGCGTCATTCCCAGAAGCTGCTGCCTTGTGCGCGGAGCAGGGCTCACCCTACTCCCTGCGCCCTCATTGAGGAGACACAACCGTCAGCACACGCTGTCCTCACCGGGAAGTGCCCGGTCCCCTGTGACCTCCACAGGACGGAGCCACAGCCCTAGGACTCTGGGACAAGGACGTGTGAAGCAGCCACTTTCCACAGCGAAGGTCAGGACGGCAGTTCCAGGCGGTGAGGACAGCTGTGGAGACGCCTCCCGCCAGCCCCGGTAACTGGCCTCTCCTGGAATAAGCCCCGAGGAGAGCTGCCTGGCCCAGTGCTGATGATGGGGGCACAATGGCCCAGCCCCTCCACACAGCGGGATCACCCGCAAGGCCCTGCCAGCCCGAGCACCCCGGAGGGCTGGCAGTGACTTCTCCCACAGCCTAGTCAGCCTCCTCGCACTCCTAGCACCACCTCAGAGCCCGCTCTGCATAGCCCAGCCCACACCCGCCTCCTGAGCCATCAGCCAGTCCTCAGACCGCCTGCCCTTTCCCACACTCCTGCACCCGGCATCGGAGTGCGGGGCTGGGTCACTCGGAGTGGCCGCTGCATTCCATCCTCCTGTCAGGGAGCAGGAAGGGACATTTGAAAGAGCCCAGATCCACCAGGAACACAGGATGCCATCTCCCCTCTCCCCCTACCCCACCAGGCGGGCAGGGGCAGGCGTGGGGCCCTGCCCTTCCTCCCCCGCTGCCGGGAACAAGCTCCGGAGAGAATGGCCTCTGCTCTGCTCTCTGGCTCCTCCCCACCCACTGCGTGTGGGACAGAGCTGCAGGGTCAGAGGCCACATCCCAGCACTTCCGACACGGCGGGGTCAGAGGCACAAACTCAAGCCGGAGGTGGAGGGGCTGGAGTGAGGGAGCTTGAGGGAAGCAACATGGTTCCAGGTGCTTCATGTTGACATCAGCAGGGGCACAAACAGGAGCAGTTTAGTCCCCCACCCCCACCCCACCCCCACCCCATCCTCACTCCCACCCCCACCCCGTGTAAAACTCGCCCTCACTGGCCTGGATGCACTGAGTCCGAGGCTGCACTAGAAAATATGCTCTAGAATCTACTCAGGTGCCAACAAACTCCCAGGGCGAGGAAGGTGAGGTCGCCTCAGGAAAGTCCATCCAGAGAACCACATATGGTGCCAAGGTCTGGCCCTCCCTGGGAAGGCCGCTCCCCACTGCCCCCTGAGCCCCAACCTTTCCCTGTCCAGCCTGCTGCCACTCCCTGCTGACAGCCCCTGAGTGCATCCTCCTCCCCCTCTTCCTGCCACAGGTCAAACCCTGAGCCCCGGGTGCTCCCCCTCTGCCAGCAGCTGTCCCTTCTGTCTGCTGCCTAAGGCTAGTGCTGCTCTGAAGGGAACGAGGCCACTTCACAGCCCACTTCCCGCCTAAGTGTCTGAAATTGTACAGAACGGGGCAAAAGTAGGTTTACAATTGTGAGTACACAAAACCGTTTATTTTTGTATTATTATTTATTGTGTTGTTTTTCCTATGAACTGTCAACCTGCTTTTGCTCTGCCCTGTATCTTAAGAGGCACCTCCAGCACTCAGAGTGTGGGAAACGGGGCGCACTGTGCTCACATCCTCTGCTTTGGGTTCCACGGAGCCTCTGACACACACAGCTCTCCCAGCACCTGAGCGAGGGTCTGAGACCCGTGAAGAACAGCCCCGTGAGCTGGGCGTGCGCGCAGTGGCTCTCCTCTCCTCCAGCCCCTCTCATGTCCAGCCCCGGCTCTGGCTCCGCTGGCCCCTCAGTCAGACTCTAAGGCGCTAAGGGAAACCCTTGGCCTCCGACACCCATCTCTGCACTGACAGCTCCTCTGGGAGAATGCACACCCCCTGCTGGCAGCAAACATGCCCCTCGGAAAGGCCTTCAGGACGCCCCTCGGCCTCAGTGCTGGGAGGCCCATGGCTCTCAGGACCCTGAATCCTGAGTCGCCAACCACACACCCGAGGCGGGAAGCAGCCACCCGGAGGCCCGTGTCGAGAAAAAGCTGGTCTAGTGAGGCAGCTAACAAGACAGCGAGCCCTGGTCCTCGGGCCCATGCCGGCCGGACTGGCCTCTAGGACAGAAGAGACCAGGACAGCTGCCTGCGCTGCCTCAGTCTGAGCCGGGCTCATGGGGGCGAACTGCATTCCAGCTCTGAATCCTTCTCTTCTGGCACATTCTGCCACAAACATGGGCATGTCCATCACAGCCACCGGCAAAGCCATAGGGTGCTGCCACCCCCTCACGTGCACGTCGCTCACAGGAAGTGAAAGCTCAGGTGGAAGTGGCCTACTCAAGGCCCCACGTCTAGCAGGGGAGCCCACGCCCCTCAGCGCCGCCTGCTTCCCGGGGGAGCAGGACCGGGGGGAAGGGGCCTGCAGCTGCCGGATGGGGGGCCGGGTGGATGCACACAGCAGGCAAAGAGCAAGAAACCAGAGGCGGGCGGCGGGGCCGGAGGGCAGCAAGGTGGGTCGGGGGCCCTCGTGCTGCAAAGAAACCTCAGGGGAGACTGGCAGCACCATGCCCTCAGCCTTCTTGGAACCACCGCACCCACTGGACATCCCTGGAGCTGCCCCGCATTACTGGGCTCCTGCATGGGATGTGTCCCCAGAGTCACTCTCTAGAGCAAAACGAGCCCCTTTGTGGAGCCACCTGCTTACGCCCACCAAGGGAGTGCAGAGACAGGAGCCCATGTCACCCCTGGGCCCCACGGTGGGGGCACTATGTCCTCCATGTGTCTGGCACAGACTTCTGCTTGGCTGCGCCCATCCATGTCCCTGAAGCGCCCGCAGCACAACAGGAAGATGCAGCCAGGGGACCAGGGGGGAGGAGGCAGAGATGCTGGAGCCTCGGCTCAAGAAAGACTGATAAAAGAAGATCTGCCATTCTAATCTGCGCTTTCTTGAACCCAATTTGTTGCCAAAGGTTAACAAAACCAGACAGGCACTCCAGGTGTTGAAGCACATCCAGCTGTGGGCTATGTGCCGGGGGCCGGGGGTGGAATGCACATGGCTCTTTGTTAAACAAATATACCAGAGAAGAATTCCAAATTTCCTACCACATGAGAGCCAGAAATGTGTATCCCTGAACACATGTAATGCACACAGAAGCTCCTATCTACCTAGAAAGAGCTGTGTGTGTGGTGAGTTTGATGCCCTACACAGCAGACCCTGCAGCAGCTCGGTCTGAGGCTTTTAGCGTCCAGGCACTGGCGTGTCTGATGGCCTGTGGCGTCCAGTATGACGTCACTGACTTCCCCATGGGGCCACTGGGCCCTTGAAATGTAATTAAATTTCAACTGACTGTGACTTGAGGAACTCAATTTTCAGTTTTATTCAACTTAATTAATTTAAATGTCAATAGCTACGTATGGCTAATAGCTATTACAGCATGAGACAGCGCAGTCCCAGGAAGCCAAGCTACTTGCTTAGCTTCTGTTTTATTTTACCATGAAAATGACAACGACATTACTATCTAAGACACTAACTTAAAAACAATGTTTTTATTGATTTTAGAGAGAAAGGAAGGGAGAAGAAGAGAGAAACATCAATCAGCTACCTTCTGCATGCCCCCTACTAGGGAGCCCAAAACCAGGAATCGAACTTGTGACCTCTCAGTGCATGGGGTGAGCCACACTGCCATGCCTAAAACACTAACATTTTTAAATCTATTTTTTTGATTTCAGAGAGGAAGGGGGAGGGAGAGAGAATGGAAACATCAATGATGAGAGAGAATCATTGATTAGCTGCCTCCTACACGCCCCCCAGTAGGAATTGAGCCTAAAACCTAAGCATGTGCCCTGACTGGAAACTGAACCATGACCTCCTGGTTCATAGGTTGACGCTCAACCACTGAGACACACTGGCTGGGCAACACTAACATTTAAAAAAATATATTTTTTTATTTTTACTGATTTCAGAAAGGAAAGACGAGGGAGAGAAAGAAACATCAATGAGGAGAGAGAATTAATGATCGCTGCCTCCTGCACGCCCCCTAATGGAGAATCGAGCCCACAATCCAGGCATGGCCTTTGACTGGAACCAAACCCGGGACCCTTCAGTCCACAGGCCAACACTACCCACTGAGCCACACCAGCTAGGGCAACACTAACATTTTTAACAGATATTTTACTCCCACATTCTCTAGAAAATGAAAACATCAGAATTATCCAAAATATTAAAATAAAAAATAAGCCCAGATATTTACTCACATCCCCTCAAGAAACAAGCCGGGTTTGGCCTCATGTAAGCTTGGTTAGGTACTCTGAGAGCCACTGTGAAGGAAGCCACAGAGATTACAGTGTGTCTCACCACGGCGCTCAGAGGACCCCAAGCTTCCCAGGAGCCCTGGGCGCCGCCCCGTAAATACCTGTGCTGAGGGCTCTCTGCCCAAAGGGATGGAGCTTGGCTGGACGGCAGACACAGCAGTGGTGGGCGGGAACCGGGCTCTTACTTGCATCCCGCCTTGGGCCAAGGCTTCGGCGATCATCTTGAGGACAGAGGGACAACAGACAAGGTGATCGCAACAAAGAAACGCAGCGCAGGGGA